CATGTTGGGAGGGAGAGGTTTCTAAGGGCTAACAGACAGGTGGGAGGCAGGGCAAGGAAGACAAAGGAGAAAATGGTATAGAGGACAGGGGATGATGGGTTAAAGAAGGGTTAATGATGCAAAACAAAGGGTGTGGGGGTTGCAACCAAACAGGGGAATAGAGGTTTTAATCTGCAAAATAAAGGGGAGGGGAAAATTGCAACAACATTGGCAGACCAGAGAGAGAAGGTATGTCTGGGACTCAGGTGATGTACTTATGGTCACAGAAGATGGGGAAGGGGAAGGTGAGTTGTTATGGTGTGAAATTGTTGAAATCAATATTGAGGCTGTGAGGTCCCCACCAGATAAATCAGGTGCTGTTCCTTGAGCTTGTGCTTTGGCTCATTGGTACAGAGTAGGAGACTGTGAATGGAGAGGTCAGAGTGCGAGTGGGAGGGAGAGTTGGAGTGATTGCAGTTGTAACTGCACGATGCCACAGCGCCACTTTGATTCGGCGGCCACCAGGTGTAACGGAAGCGAAAAACAGAAAACTGAAATACATCTTAAGTCATAACTCATGAATCATAGGAGAGACTCAAAATCAAATATACCCAGGTCACTTTCAGTTGTAAATCCTTTCCGATGAGGTATAAATTATGTCTCCATGTCAATTCGGTTACTGAGATCCTTGTTGAAGCACAGACAGACAGACATTGTCATTTTATTAGTGTAGAAGATAAGAAAAGGAGTTTCCAGCAATTGTTGGAAGCAGAACAGTCAAGGAAACCTGAAGCTCTCCCTTATATTTGTCTAGTCCAATCAACCATAAGTTGAACTCATAGAATTGTGGAATTATACAGCATAGAAGGAGGCTATTCGGCCCAATCTGTATGTGCCGACTCTTTGAAAAAGCTATCCAAATTAATCCCACTCTCCCGATCTCTCCCCAAAGCCCTGCAAATGTATGCTTCCCAAGTATCTGCCAACATCTCTTGAAAGTTGTTATCACATTGGCTTCCACCACCCTTTCAGACAATGCATTCCAGATCAGAACAAATAAAACGTTAATTCCAATGCTCTTTGTTTCGATTACGTCTGTATTTCAGTATCAAACATTTAATCTCTTCGGGGGCAAGGGCACGAGATTGACCCATCTGAGTGGAGAAATACTTCATAGTATTAAGGTTTAGAAATCTATATACACTACATCACATGGCTTCCCAAGGTCACACTGGGCTGATACCTCCTCAAAAAGTCTATAAAATTGGTCAGACAAGACCGACACTTTCTGAACCCATGATGGCCATGTTTTTTTTTACAGATAATCCTCAACTTCCTTTCCAATGATTAACTCCATCATTGCTTGGAAAATATTTGGACCAGTCCCCAATAGGGAAATGTATACGTAATCATCAATTCAAAAACAACTTGCACTTATATAGTGCCTTTCATGCAGGATAGCATCTCAGAGCATTTAACAGTGATGGAGGCTGACTCCAAGCTGGTCAGTGGTGCGGGGGAATGGGGGTGGCAGGAAGTGACTGTAAGCATGGTTGAAAAGGAAGATTTTCAGGTGGGATTTGAAAAAGGTGAGATGGGGGCAAAATAGAGGGATTGACGGAGAGTGTTCCAAAGTTTTGGGGGATTGTGGCTGAATGGGTGACCTCCAATGGTGGAGCGGAGAGTACAATGGAGAGATCGAGATTGTTGTAGCCAATGTCACAGTCTCTGGGTTTGTTATCTTCTCACTCTGTCTCCTCGCCCACACCGGAATGAACTTTGCCCCGTTTACATATCAATCTCTTCACAGTTCCATTCTCGACTTCATTCTAGACACCAGGATCAGAGCTGGATTGAGGAGTTAAACTGTCCTGTTTGCCTGAATGTGTTTACTGATCCTGTTATCCTGCAGTGTGGCCACATCTGCTGTCAATCCTGTATCAGGGAGCTGGGAAACACAGGAGATAAACTTGTCCTGAATGTTGACAAGTTGTTGGTAAAAGTAACCTGAGGGTTAATCGTGCCCTGGTGATTCTGTTGGAGAGAGCTACCCCTGACCTCCCCACCCTCCACCCCACCTGTTCCCAACCAGGGTGTGGATCTCCGTCTGTCCGGTGACTAGGGACGTCCTCCTGAGTGAAAAGCTCTATACAAATGTCATTTATTTTTGTTGTGTTTGTTCACACTGGAAAAGAGAAGATTGAGAGGCAACATGATTGCTGCCTTTAAGATTCTAAAATTGCTAGACCATACAGATCATCACAGGCTATTTCAACTTGTCCAGAATAGTAAAACCAGAGGACATGGTGTGCAATTGAAGGGAGGTAAATTTAGAATGAATCTACGCAAGTACTATTTCAGTGAGTGAATAATGAATCTAGGCTCCCTAGATAGACGGTTGAAGCAGGAAATGTTGATACTTCAGATTAGATAGATTTCTTTTAGGAAATAACATTATGGGAAATAGTATATAGGACATATGTGCATGTGACCTCCGGGAAGTTGGAAGGCGATCTAGATGGACCTTTGTCTTTTTTCGTCTTGCATTTCTTATGTTCTAATGTTTAATCAAGTTTTTTTTACTGTTTGTATTTAATTCCAGGATGAAGTGAAGTTCTCCTTAGTTTCTCTCACACAGAGGAAGGTCGTGATGGACATTCCCACTGTCCCAGTGCGAATGACTGCAGGAAACACTCAGAGATTCTGAGAATCTGACGGTTATAACACGTTATCATGGAAGTGGTTTTACTTCAGTTTCCTTGTGATTCTCCATGTCTCGTTTATGGGAATAGAATACAATTTTATTTTTTTTAGCACCTTTCATGTTGGGAGGATGTCCCAAGGCACTGAACAGTCAGGGATATTGTGCGATCGGGTCGGTGAGGGTTATTACCGAAGAGGGGGGAGTTAAACATACAAGCTTTATTAATCTTCCATTTCTTCTTTATCTTTCTTTTTATAAGAACATAAGAATTTTCTGGACAAAGTAAAGCAAGTTCCATCTTGTTCGCTTTCCACCATCCTGGCAATCCCTTGACATGTTGTGTCCCAAACAATATATATAGTTCCCATTGATTCATAGTGGTGTAATTTGATTTATGAGTACAGCCTATGTCTCTTAGTCTGTGGAGTCCAGTCCATGTTTGTGGAGTCCTGTAGCTCAGTGATTAGAGCACTCACCTCTCAAGGAGAGGACCTGGGTTCGATTCCAGGACCGGATAAAATCTTAGGCAAGTTTCCTTACTCCACACCCCTCTGTTTAGTTAGCAGTTAGTAGGAACCTGGTTGTTAGTCGATAGGCAATCACATTTCTGGGGGCAATAATACCTTCCAAAAATAAATTAAAATAATAATTTGGTCTCTGAATCCACGACCCTTTGTAGGACACTGCTGAACGCAATTGGCTGCCATATTTCACCACCAAAAATCTGCAGTCAATGCACTTTATAGTATATGCTGTGAAGCGATTTGAGATGTCTCATCGATGGGATAAGGCGATGTATCAAATCCACAGATTATTATTATTATTATTATGCTGAGTATTGTATCATAAAGAGCAAAATTTTCCTTTTATAAGTCAATGAAGGGAGTAAATCTAACAGTACAATTGTTCAAAGGTTGGGGTTGTACAGGGAGGAGTGAAGCCCATCTATATTTAACATACGGTCAGCTGGTCGGGATTAATATTGCAGGGCTTCTGATCTGAGGTGTGTGATCTGTCCTCACCCAGGGGAAGTGGAGATACAGAGCTCACTTGAGCCTCTGGTCACGCGGCTCAGGCGAGGCTTGTCATGTCGGAGAGGCCATCTCGTCACCTAACCTGATCGCTTTTCATGCGGGTAATAATTCCTTCAAAAAAAGTAATAAATTGATTACTCAATCCGTGACTGTTTGTGGGACACTGCTGTGCGCAAATGGCTGCCATGTTTCATCCACAAAATATACAGTCAGTTCACTTCACAATACGTTATGAATCGCTTTGATACTTCTCGACAATATGATAAGATGCTGTATCAAAAGGAAGGATTATTATTATTATTATTGACACACATGCTCGGAGTGGCCAAAGGCCCATTCGAACAGGAAGGTCTTCAGACGGGATTAGAAGGAGGCAAGAGAGGGATTGAGGCAGACATTGTGGGATAGAGTTCCAGAGTGTGGGACAGAGATGCTGAATGCCCCACACTCTGGAACCATCAATGGTGGGGTGGGAAGTGCAGGTGACCTAAAACTGTCCACTGAATTGATCGAGCAGACAGGCTGATATGGGATTATGTGGTTGGAGATGTAGGGGGGAACAAGACTGTGGAAGGCCTAGAAGGTAAGAATTTGTACTGAATTCTCTGAGAAATGGGACTGAGGGAGAGGGGGAGAGAGAGGACTGAGCGAGGACGGGAGAGAGCGATAACTGAGACAGTTGAGAGAGGACTGAGAGAGAGAGATTGGGGGTGTCTCCTCTTTGCTTGATGAAGGAGCTGGGGGGAGGGGGTGGTGACTGTAAGCATGGTTGAAGAGGAAATGATCTGAAAATGAGGAAGGAAGGGTCGAGGCAGAAGGATAGAGGGAGTGTTTCGTTCTTAAACTAAAAGAAAAATTATACAGTAATGCAAGAAAAAGTGGAAATGCAGGGGACTGGGAGACTTATAAAAAGCATCAAAGGGATACAAAGAAAGTAATAAGAAGGACAAAAAGGGACTGTGCAAATGTAATTTGAGTGCACTTTTGATAATCTCTCCCCCCAGCTCGGGTGCCAAGTCAGGATTGTCCAGCGCCTTGGGAAGTCCTCCCAATGTGAAAAGCACTTGCTAATGTCATTTTTTATTGTAATGTTAAGGATTTTGGGACGCCCTCTCAACATGAAGGGTACTGTTTAAATGTAAATTTGTGTTATATTGTATGAGTTTCTGGATGTGTCAGATCAAAAGGGTGACAACAACAACAACAAATTTACATTTGTATAATGCCTGTCACATTGGGAGGATGCCCCAAGGCACTGAACAGTCTGTGTTTCGGACCCGTGATGGAAATAATACATTGAGTGAAAGTGAAACTAAGATTCCTTCTGTTGACTGCATTCATCAAAGCTATTGTCCCCACTTTAAATCATTTAATCCTGACTGAAGAGAAAGGTAAGAGAGACTTTCATGTCACATTGTGTCTTAATCCGAGTGTGTGATTTTTACTTTCAGACTGGAAATGTTAATTTGTTCAGAGGAATATAATGGCTGGTTCCTCTTTAGTGCCAGTGTTTTAATGATAGATCTTATACAGTCAATTCAATTTACAATATGTTTTGTGAAGTGTTTTAGACATCTTGAAGACGTGATAAGGTGCTATATCTGATGCAAATATTATTATTATTATTATTATTATTAAACTCTCTGTGTGAAGCAGCCGGTGGTAATATCTCCTGACAGGCAGCTTTGTGTGGACTCTCTCAATCTCTCTCCCAGGGAAATCCCCAGTCATGTTGCTGCTCCTAAGCTTCTGTGATACAGACTTTCAGTGTGGCTGCCTCTGTCGTGGGTAATGATCACTCACTATGTTCCAGCCATTTTGTGGAGCTCAGTGGTTAGAGCACTCGACTCACAAGCAAGAGACCTGGGTTTGATTCCCGTCAGGGCGAAACGTTGGGCAAGTTTTGTTACTCCACACGCCTCTGGTTATCGGGCAGTAAATAGGAACCCGGTTGTTAGTCGATTGGTGGATTACTTTTCCAGGGGTAAAAATTCCTTTTAAAAAAAATTGTCAATTCAATCCAAGACTGTTTGTGGGACACTGCTGTTGTAATTGGCTGCCGTGTTTCGCCCACAAATATACAATCCATTCACTTCACAGTATATTCTGTGAAGTGCTTTGAGATGCCTGAGATGTGATAAAGCGCAATATCAAATGCAAAGATTATTATACTATTATATCTTTTTTCTTTCCATTATGTGACAGATGAGATTCAGAAAACATTTTGTGACAGGACCCTTTCCTGGGTGTGTGCCATGTCTGCTGCACATTCACTTCCAAACTTCTCTTCCGTGATGCTGGGGAGAGAGCAGCTTGAAAAAGGGGCTGAGAGAGGGGGAGGGAGGGAGGCAGGACTGAGAGTGTTGAAGAGAGAGAGAGACGACTGGGACCAGGGAGAGGAGGAAACTGTTAAACGCTGGAACACTATCCCTCAATCCTTCCACTTTGGCCCCTCGCTCCCCTTTTTCAAGTCTCACCTGAAAACCTTCCTTCTCAACTGTGCTTATTGCTACCTCACCTCCCCCACCCCCCGGGCTCAGAGTCAGGCTCCACCACTGTTAAGTATTCGGAGATGCTAACCTGCATGGAGGGTGCTATAGAAGTGCATGTTGTTGTTGAGAGAGGACTCAGGGAGTGAGAAAGAGCGATGACTGAGATAGGAGGAAAGGAGATTGAGAGAGTGAGAGAGAGGAGAGAGACGGTTGGGGAGCCTCCTCGTTGCTAGGTGAACTTGTGTTGCTCACATTTATGAATTAATGTCACAAATGAAAATACTGTTAATTTCCAGTGATGGTCTCATAGACAACAGCCAAGTCCTTTTACCCCTCGAATTGAATCAACCTTTAAGTCTCCCCCGTAACTCGAATCAATGATTTTTTAAGATCAAGGCATTTGCCTCGTCTGAGCAGAGCTCTGGAAGTGAACTGTTTATCTGCAGAGACCTGAGGAGAACAAGGAACAACAGGTCTAAACATCAGAGAACAAACCACGGGAGAGAGATATAACAACAACTTATTTATGTAGTGCCCTTCACAGGGGGTAGTGTCCCGGAGCACTTCACAGTAGTGGATTCTAACCCGGAGCCATGGGGAGAGGGAAGGGGGAGGTGACTGTGAGCATGATCAAAAAGAAAAGCCTTTGAACAGAATTTGAAGCTGGTTAGGGAAGGGAAAGGCGGTGGGATTGAGGGAGAGAGTTGCAGAGTTTCGGGGCATAGTGGCTGAAGGTGTGGCCACCAATGGCGGAGGGGAGAGGACCAAGGTCAAACAGGAGGCTGGAGCCAGCCAAGCCGAGGCGGTGGGTGGTGGAGTTGGGGTGTAAGCTTTTCGGATATGTAGGGAGGTTTATTGTTAAAAGAAATACTTATCAGAATCAATATTTAGTTTTAATTCTGTGAAGGAAAAGTACCATTTTACAAAGCAAAACAGATTATCAGTAAACTTTCCTTTCTATTTTTTAAAATTCTTTTAATTACTACTTTTAAAATCAGTGAATGTATATTTGTATTTGTAATGTGATATATTATAATAATACCTGCATTTGATATAGCATGTCTTCATGTCTTCACAGAATATACGATGTTCATTTTACATTTGGAAATTAAAAGCTCATTCTTATATTAGAAAAAGAGCTTGTGTAATCACTGAGAGATTTCTGCCCTAATATTGTAAAGACTGAGGAGTGAATTCCTGGTGTTTTATTGTTGATTAATCAGAGAATTAGGGAGAAGGAGGCTATTTAGCCCATCATGCCTGTGCCAGCTCTGTGAAAGAGCAATTCAACTAGTCCCACTCCCCCACTCTTACCCCAAACCCTGCAAAATTGTCCTTTTGAAGTACGTAGCCAATTCCCTTTTGAAATCTACTATTGAATCTGGTTCCACTACCCTTTCAGGCAGTGCATTCCACACCGAAACAACTCTCTGGGTAAAAACATATTCTCCTTGTCTTCCCTCTGGTTCTTTTGCCAATTATATTAAATCTATGGCTCCTGGATACTAACCCCTCCCCCCCCCGCTCCCTATCTATTCTATCAAAACCTCTCAACATTGTGAACACCTCTATTAAATCTCCCCTCAACCTTCTCTGTTCTAAGGAGAACAATCCCAGCTTCTCTAGTCTCTGCACATATTTGAAATCCATCATTCCTAGTAATCTGATCTCGATTGATTGTAACTACATAAATCGTCACATCACAGAATAGGCTCAGAAGGAGCAAAGTCAGGGACAATTGAGATTTGCAGTAACTGAGAAAGTGGCAATTGAGGTTATTTGATAGAGATAAAACAATTAGTAAAATTATGGCAAGGTGCTATATCAAATGCTATTATTATTATAAATTGCTTTAAAAGCCAAGTGCCCATTGAAACGATTTATCTATTGCTCATAATCACAAATCTCTGTGTGTAATGATCTGATTTGCTGTGTTGTAACCAGTTGTGATCTCATTGTGAAGGTCCGAGAAGATGAGCTGCAAACACTGGATTCAGGTCCTATGGCTTGTGCTTCCCCTCTCACTGGCTGGTAAGGAAATCCGTTGTATCTGCTTTATCTTTTTGAAAAAAAAAGTGTGACCAATTATGTTTCTAATCCTCAACAACTCCCACAATATGCTCACTGCTCTCAGTTCCACAGTTGCTGGTTACCCCATTGATCACCCTCATTAAATTGATGCCCAAGTCATCATCGTTCATGTAAATGGAGGGCATAAATTTATGATCATAAGCAAACAAGCGAATGGAGAGGTGAGGAGAAATATTTTCACACGCAGAGTGGTTAGGATATGGAATCCCCTGCCAGGAGCGATGCTTGAGGCAGTAACAACATTGGCCTTCAAAATACAGTGAGATAAATACCAAAAAAGCAGTAAGCTCAGAGGTAACGGGGGGAAAGGACGGGTACATGGGATTGAAAGGATGGCTCTTAAAAAAACTGGCAAGGGCATGATTGGCTGAGGGTGACAGACCGGGCGCAGAGAGCCACTTTTTGCTGAGAAGAAAATTAGAACAAATTAATCGGACACTAAATTTATATTTAAAAAAATGCCTTTACAAAATTGCCCTTCACAGCCCCTGAACTTTGCCTTCTTGTTCTCCTGCACTGGTATGGCTACAGCGAGATGCTTCTGACATGATAACGTGAACAGTCAGTTTGAGAGCTTTGTTGAATCTTGTTAAACTCAATCTTTTAAAGAATGTTGAAAAAAATAATAATCTAAAAAAATGCCTGCATCTATAATCATTGCTTTTGATGCAGAGTCTTCGCATGTCCAAGTCTTTCGAAGAGCTTCACGGAGAGTTTCTGTAAAACTGTAGTGACTGTGCACTCGCCTTGCAAGGCAAGAGACCTGAGTTTGATGCTGGCAGGGCAAAACTTTGAGCAAGTTTCCTTACTCACACACACCTCTGTTTACCTAACAATAAGTAGGAACCTGGTTGTTAGTTGATTGGAAGATTGCTTTTATGGGGATAATAATTCCTTCAAAAAAAAGAAATTTGGTCCTAAAATCCACGACTGTCTGCGGGACACTTCTGTGCGTAATTTGCTTGCCGCATTTCGCCCACAACATATAGAGTCAATTCAATTTACAATATAAATTGTGAAGCACTTTGAGACATCTAAGACATGATAAGGTGCTATATCAAATGCAAGTATTATTATCATTATTATTTACCAGCAAACACAATACTCAAGTGTAATATATTAGCTTATTGTTGTGGGTGTAAAAGGTCCTTTTCCATTTTATGTCAGAATTTATTGATACCTCCTTACAGAAGGATGTCAGGTCCTTGGAGAGGGTGCAGAGGAGATTTACCAGAATGATGCCAGGGATGAAGGACTTCAATTATATAGAGAGACTAGAGAGGCTGGGATTGTTCTCCTTAGAGTAGTGGTTAAGGGGAAATTTAATAGAAGTGTTCAAAATTATGAGGGGTTTTGATAGAGTAAACAGGAAACTGTTTCCACTGGCAGGTGGGTCGGTAACCAGAGAACACAGATTTAAGATAATTGACAAAAGAGCCAGAGGGGAGATGAGGAGGAATTTTTTTACCTCGAGAATTGTTACAATCTGGAATACATTCCCTGAAAGGGTGTTGGAAGCAGATTCAATAGTAGCTTTCAAAAGGGAATTGGGTAAGTCCTTGAAAAGGAAAAATATGCAATGATGTGGGTTAAGAGGCCAGTGGGACTAATTGGGTAACTTTTTCAAAGAGCCGGCATAGGCTGATGGGCCAAATGGCCTCCTTCTGTGCTGTAATCATAGAATCATAGAATTATACAGTACAGAAGGAGGCCATTTGGCCCATCATATCCATGCCAGCTCTTTGAAAGAGCTGTCCAAGTCAATCCCACTCCCCGCGCTCTCCCCATATCCCTGCAAACTTGTCCTCCCCAAATATCTATTTAAGTAATATTCTGTGATTCCATGATCCCAGTGAGTTTCTGTAGTCTAAGTCAATGTGATACTGAAAATCGTTTAATTTATTTATTTGTTGGAGGGATTATTATCCCTGAGAAAAGGATCTGCCAATCGACTAACAACCGGGTTCCTACTTACTGTCAGGCAAACAGAGGCACGTGGAGTAAGGAAATTTGCCCAACGTTTTGCTCTGCCTGGGAATCAAGTCCGGGTCCTTTCACTTGCGAGGCGAGTGCTCTAACCACTGAGCTAAAGGAAACTGTGTCAGTGTCATTCTGCAAATTCTAACTTTTTCCCTTTTTTGTTATTAAACAGAGAGATTCACAGTCAGTGGCCCGGCCCTCCCTGTCCCAGCCATTGCTGGTTCGGATGTTGTCCTGGACTGTAAGTGTTCCACAGACCTGCCACGAGAGGGTATGGAGGTGAGATGGTTCAGGACGAGATTCGGATCACCTGTCCACTTATACAGTGAGGGACGAGATCAGACAGCGGAACAAGATACAGCCTACAGAGACAGAACACAGCTATTTGTAGAAGAGTTTATAAATGGCAACATGTCCCTCAGACTGGAAGATGTACAGGTGGCAGATAACGGAATATACACATGTTTTATCAATTATGAGGGATGGTATGAAGAGGCAAAGATTCAATTGCAAGTTCTGGGTAAGTAACATTTATAAATGTCCCTTCAAAGTGTTCTTTTCCTCCTGACTTTAGACTGTATAAGAGAAAATCTCCCTGGATCAAGACTTATTGTATTGATGCAGTGTTGCAGATTGTACGTTTCTTTTAAGAAATGACAGAAAATTCTTCCCAAGGTTAAAACTGAATTCAACAATTGGCAAATGCTCTAAAATACTTCATGAATAGAGGAAATCTAGATCCAGGTGGAATTTCTCCTCAATGATGGTAACATTTGCAGCCTTTCAAACCATTCCCTTTGATACTGTTCATTAAAGAAGGTTTGTATCTAACAGTAGATGCAACATCCTTCTCCTGTCAATTCCTATCTTCCAGTCCACTCATTATTGTCACTCTGTTTTCTAATGAAATTTTTAGCAGAACAGTTACTATTTGTTGCTAGTTTTGCTGACTCTCTGGCTCAGAAAAATCATTTTTAAATGACCTCTGAGCTATTGATTCATCACAAATGAACTAAAGAATAAATTCAATCTGTAACATCCTGCCATTAATTAAAATAATATTAATAATAAATATTATTATTATTCACTCATTATTCAACAATCTCATCTGTATTGTTCTTTCACTTGTGATATGCACTATTATCCCAGGCCAAACCTAAACGTGTTAATCTCTGTACCTATCTCCGTGACTTCCCCATATTCATGTTTCCTGCACAAACCCCCCCCCTCCCCCCCCAACCATCAGATCATGGTCCACCCTCTGGAATTCCATCTGCAGTTGTTCCTCCATAACTCCTCCCTCTGTGCCTTAGGATCTGTCTCTTCTACAGCTCGTTTGGATATGCTCCAAATCCCCCTCCCCAAATTCTGGCTCCCAATCAGTGTTTGAAATGCTTTGGGAGGTCCTTCCAACCTGAAAGGTGCTCTACTGTATACATGCAATTTATTCTTTTTGTCTCTTTTTTTCTTTATTAATTCCATTTTCATTCCTTTGCTCTTCATTTCTCCTTTCAACTGACCCAAGAACAACAATAACTTGCATTTATATAGTCCCTCACACAGGGGAGCATCCCAGAGCGCGTGAACTCAGGCCCAACCTCAGTATAAGGAAAGAATTCCAAACCCCAACAGCTTTCTGAGTGAAGAAATTCCTTCTAACCTGTAACTTGTCTTCTGATTCCCCTGAAACTGTGACATCTTGTCACTAAATCTTCTACAGCCTTGATCCACCTCCTACCTCTGTGACCTCCTAACCCCTTAATGACCTGTCCGTTCCCTCTGCTCAGTGGGCTACAGCCTGCTTCACACCCCCGCCTCGTACACACTACCATTGGCGAGTGGAGCTTCAGCCCTTCTACCCCCACCCTCTGGAACTCCATCCCACAGCCTCTCCTCCTCACTTGCCTACTTCAAAACCTGTCTCACGTTGCTCCTCTACAACCGTGTCTTCAATCACCCATCTATCCCTATCCCCTGACATCCACCGCTCCTGATCCCAACCACCAGCTTGGGTGGAAATCCCTGACTGTCCAATGCTTTGGGATGTTCTCCTGATGTGAAAAGTGCTAGGCAAATGTAATTTGTTGTTGTTTGTGTTGATGGGAATGTTTTTCCCTCTCTACCTGTCTTATGCCTCTTCAAATCTTACTCTTTCATGTTCTCTCTCAATCTCTTCTGCTTCAGTGGAAAAAGCGCCGACTGAGTGTTTCTCCTCACTTATAATTTCTCATCCCGAAAGTTTAGGTGTTAGAGTGGTTCTCCATTTATAGCAAGATGGTTGGGAGCCCTGAAATCCCAGCCTGTGCTACAGCAAGGTGTGATCGATCAATTGCTGGTTTCACTGTCCATTCAGCAGCCTCTCAGCTCAACTCCTGAACTAAACGAAAAATGACTGACTTCCAAGTTATCAGGTTGCCTCCAATGTCACTTCATGCTGTTTGATGTGTGTAGTGAATGGGGACCATTACATTGCATTGTAACCAAATTCACGTGATAAAGAAGCATATTTGGTTACACTATATGTTTAAATGGACTGAAGAATGTCTGGAAATCTCTATGTGTAGGCAGCAAACACACATGGAATTCTCAGTCTGGTTTGGAGAACCTTAGGCAAAGTGATCCCCAAAAAAGAACTTACTTTGAATGCTTTTCATTGTGATTTAGAGTGGTTTCGTGTATTTCATCTCACAGTTCTTGGCAGTCAGCCTTGGGTTTTTATGCAAGGATACTACAGTGGAGGTATACGTCTTGTGTGCGAGTCCGAGGGATGGTTTCCTGAGCCAGACATTCTGTGGCTGGATGGAAACGGAGTCAATTTGACGGCACAAAGTCAAACGAAAGAAGAAAAGAATCCTGAAGGTTTTGTGAATGTCCGAACCTCCCTCAATATCACAAAAGATTCCAGCAACAGGTTTAAGTGTCTGATCAGCAATAGTCTAATGAAGAAAGAAAAGGAAGGAAGAATCCAAATCGCAGGTGTGTCGACATGTAAATCATTCTGCTGTTAGCTGAACCAAGAAATTAATCTGTAACCAATATTTAATACTCAGCTTTAAAGGTGACGAAAGTTCACTTGTGTTATAAACTGGTAGATTGATATCTCTTTCTAACTACAACCTGTTGTATTGGCAGAATACTTGTGTGTAGTGTAGAATGTGGAGAATGAATGATGCTTCTCTGTACATGTGTTAGCACATTCCACAGCAAGTTGAATTGATATAGTACCTTCCATGTTGGGAACATGGTCCAACTGCTGGTTGGACGATTCCATCCACCACCACCACTTACATTCATAAAATCTAACTAAAATTAGGCATATTTCCATTCATTTCATTAACAGTACATAGTTACCCGAAGTCATCAGCTGAAAGTGGAATAAGAACTATCTAAAATCTACCTGGATAATTCTAGTTGAGAAATTAATCACATTTGTTTGGATTTAATGTCAAACTCAAAATTTATTCGCTGAATTTTTACTTTTCAGATGATGTATTTCCCAGGATCTCTTGTGGTTGGTGGTTTCTTTGATGCTCTTCACCATTTTCACAGTAGTTTTTGTTCTGAGCTTATACTGCAATATGCAACAACGCAACAAGATCAAAGGTATGTTCCAATCGCTGTGAGAAATATAAATAATAATAATTCTTCATTTGATATAGCGCCTTATCATGTCTTTGAGACATCTCAAATCGCTTCACAGAATATACTGTAAAGTGAATTGACTGTATATGTTATAGGCAAAACCATCCGAAGAATGGACACCATTGTATCCAAGTAAACAGTTTAATGACCTAACATGCACAGGTAGATTAATCTCAATTTTGTACAATTACATAGTTAGTTTACTTCACAGAAGAAATCTTGTGAAGCAATTTAAGACATTTTGACTTGATAAGACACTGAATTGCAAGGAATATTATTATGTGTGCCATTAGTTGTCTGCTATTTAATTACTTACCCAATTACCTCCTATCCTTTATGGATAGGAGGTAAATGGGGTCTCCTTAGAGCTAAACTGGCTCCAAGGTGACTTGCCTGGCAACAGAATGTTGGTATTGAGCCAGTGATCTGTGGCAGTCTCGAGACTATTTCCTGACCCAGGTAGGTCCACAGTATTCCACATATGACATATGACATATGACAGCACAGCCCGCGTGGCTCATTGGCAGGACCTGCAAAGGCAGAGCAGTCACTGGGGGCAGGAAACCTCCTGTTAACCCTGCAAGCCAAAGGACCTAGCTGGACAAGCAGCAGGAAAGCTTGCCAGACAGCGATATCAATGGCAAGCTATGGGGTTTTAGCTGGTTAGACTCCAGCAGTTACCCCAACGCACCCTCTGGGGTCCCCCAAACCGTGGTTAATAATAAAATAATAATCCTTGCATTTGATATAGTGCTTTTCACGTCTTCTAGACGTCCCAAAGCGCTTTACAGAATATACTGTAAAGTGAATTGACTGTATATTTGTGGGCGAACGCGGCAGCCAATTGCGCACAGCAATGTCCCACAAACAGTCATGGATTGAAAATGACCGATTTATTATTGTTTTTGGTTTTGGAGGGATTATTATTAGGCTCTGTGTGGAGTAAGGAAACTTGCCCAAGGTTTCGCCCTCTGCCTGGAATTGAACTCAGGTCTCTCACTTGCAAAGCGAGTGCTCTAACCACTGAGCTACAGGACTCCACTCCCTGGTTCTTGCCAATCTGCACCTAATACTGTTTGGAATTAGGTAAACAGGATGTGTCCCTCCAGGGAGTGTGTGCATTCCATCCCAACAATCTGTCTCTGGGATTTCCATGTGTAATTGGGATGCAATTACATTTCTCAGCTTCGTTTGGATACCCTAAGCATGGTGATGGGTTTCCGCATGTGTCAGACAACCAGCTGACCAAAAAAAAATGGTTACCTCCAGTTCCATTTTCCCTGGTTTGGGTATTACAATACATATTAAAAATGTTGGGTTTCTTTCACACCATTACTCGGTTTAAGTGGATTTTAATATGTATTTAATTTTAATATGAATTTAAAATATGCAGTTCACGTGCATGAAATTAATCTTGGTTGCTTCTCTTTGGAAAATCTTGTATCTATTTTGTTTTTGTCTTCTGCCTGTATTCTTTTGCCCAATTGTACCAGCAAATAGATTGGGAAGCAATGCACCTAATGCTACCTTCATTTTATATTTCTCCAATAGGCCTTCAGAAAACAGTGGGTAAGTTAAGCTTAAGAAGGAGCCAATAATGGCTCCTTCTGTTCATCAGCTTGTTTAATAATAATAGCAATATGTTTGATACAGAACTTTTTATGTCATGCGAACATCCGAAAGTGTTTATTTGGGGGATTGTTGGCCAAGAGAATCTCTTCTGTTTGAATATGTCATGGGTTCGTTTTTTAACACCCACCTGAAAACAATAATATAATAATCCTTGCATTTGATATAGCGCCTTATCACGTGTTAGAGATATATCATTATTAATAATTTTTGAAGGAATTATTACTCCCGGGAAAAACGATCTGCCAATTGACTAACAATCGTGTGGAATAAGGAAACTTGCCTAATGTTTCGCCCTACTGGGAATCAATCAAGTACTCTAACCACTGAATAATAAATTTGTCACCTCAATCTATGACTGTTTGTGGGACACTGCTGTGCGCATTTGGCGGCTTCGTCCCATCCAAAAAATTATACAGTCAATTCACTTTACAGTATATTCAGTGAAGCGCTTTGAGATCTCCTGAATACAGAATAAGACCCTCTATCAAATAAGGAATATCATTATTATTACTACTGATATTAAGGTAACTGGCACGTAGTATCTGCGGTGATTAATAGATTAAGTGTATATTAAGTGGTGATCTGATTGAGTTATTCAAAATAATAGGCCAGATAGATAGGGGGATTTCTAGTTACTCTGGGGACATAGTCCAAAAATTAGTTCTGTTCCAATTAGAAGTGAAATCAGAAAACATTTCTTTACATAGAGACTTGTAAGAAAGCAAAACACAGAGTACTAGAAGGTCTTAGATACAGAATTGTTATATTATGCTTAAAAGGGAAATATAAGGATCCTTCGGCAGAAGTGTATTTAAGGGAAATCGAGAAAAGCAAAGAGAAAAATAAATTAAATGGTTTTGTAAAATGCGGGAATGAGTACAATGGGCTGAATGACTTGTCCTGAAACTTTGTTCTTGATTCCTCCTGAAGATTTAATCATCTGTCCCTTTCTCCTTTTTCTTCAGAGTGGGAATGGATGCTTATTTGTGCAGGTAAGAGTCCCTGTATTAATGGCTCACAGTGGAAATAACTGCAAAAAGCTTCTTACTCCCTAAACTTACAAAATTATCTCATCAATTTTAAAATTCATAAATACGATCCATAAATCGGAATAAAGTGACATGATAAAAATTATCCAAAGGCCCCAGGTAGCTTAGTTGGTAAAGGTGTAGACAATTAAATACAGTGGAAGCGGCTTAAACTGGGGCTGGCCATTTTGTCCATCTTATGAGGTGCCTGAGGTTAACCGAAGTTACCTTACTTCTTCCCACCCAGCAGAGGAACACCATTGGCCCCTCCTCCCTCCCATTGCCATGTCCATTGGACAGGAAGTGAACCAATCAGCAGCAGCTCCGAGGTGATTGACAGCCTAGAGCTGCTTGTGAATGGATAGGCTCCACCCAACCACAAGCGGCTCCAGGTTGTCAATCAATCATGATTTGACTCCTCCCTTTCTTCCCCGTTCCTCCGCCCCCTCCCTGATCGACAGTCCAATTCCATAACAACTTTTAAGAGAGAAGTTGATAATTATTTGGGGAGGACAAGTTTTCAGGGTTATGGGGAGAGAGTGGTGGAGTGGGAATAATTTCATGGCCTCCTTCTGTGCTGTATAATTCTATGATTCTATTCAACATTGTATAACTAAGTGAAAATGAATTTAAAAATATGAGCTTTACATGGGTCATTCTTGTTGATCATCCCAGATTTCAGAATTGGAAGCAGATTTCCAAATGCTTAGTTTGAAAAATGAAAGAAGCGAGATATAAGGTTCCTATATTGGAAATCAATAAAAATGACTGGAAACAAAATGCAGATTAAGTTTCATATAATTATACAACAAAATACAAAATTACATTTATAAAGTGCCTTTCATGTCGGGAAGATGTCCCAAGGCACTGAACAACAACAAAAAAATTACATTTATAGCGCGTCTTTCACATCGGGAAGACGTCCCAAGGTGCTGAACAGTCAGGGATTAGGATACGAGCATTGGTGGGAGGATGGGGAAGGGGGCGGTTGGGATTAGGGAGGGTGGAGGGCAGAGTGGGTAGAGGTACGATGCTGGCTGAAGGCATGTTTGAAGAGGAGGGTCTTAAGGTGGCAAAGGAGGGAACGAGGCAAAGGGATTGTGGCATGGTGTTCCAGACGGTGAGGTTTTTTAGAGATGGAAGAATTCGGGGGCCAGTGCTGTGTGTGAAGAGTAGCCCATTCTCTTGTTCCAGAGGCTGTACGTGTATCGGTTTAGTCCCTTCTCTTTTCAAATAGAAAGTTAGAATCTTTCAACTTCATCTGAACAGACACAGATTGAGCTTTGAGTTAGCGTGTGTCAGCCTGGTGCAGAGGGAGAACTCTCAGCTCTTGAGTCAGAAATGTGGGTTCCAGCCTTATTTGGGAACGTGGAATTACATAGTCAAAGCTGACAATATAAGCAATCAATATAAAATGGTTTCAAATGGATCAAAAAAGGAAGTTAGAAGAAATTTCTTCACGCAGAGAGAAGTGGGAATGTGGAACATGCTACCGCAAGGAGTTGAGGCAAATAGCATATATGTATTTAAGGAAAAGCTAGATATGTACATGAGGGAGAAAGGAAAAGAAGGTTATGCTTGAAGGCTTAGTTGAGGAAGGGGATGAGGAGGCTCATGTGGAGCATAAACACCGGCATAGCCAGTTGGGCCAAATGGTCTGTTTCTGTATATTCTAATGATTACAGATGAGCCTCCAACAATGGAGAATATGCCCAGCACTGGACTGGAGTAGATTATGAGCTCAAATTCCTTACTCGCCGGGCTTTAACCCACAACCTTCAGACTCAGATATAGGAACAAACTAACAAATGGGGAACTTTCAGATTTTTCCAATGACTCACAATTGTTGCTTTCAGTTCCATTAAGTTTAAAACAAATCTGTTTGTAAAAAAAATTGAAATGAAAGGGGCCGAATTATTGTGTTTTATTTGTTTCAAATCAAGTAAACATATGAGCAGCTGGGGCTAACTAGGCCGAGCCAATAACAAGTAACTTATTGATTAATCACTTGATTAGGTGTTAATTCCAAATTACTGTTGAGCAATCAGAAACTGGTTGCACCCAGAGAATATAAATAGGAGATAGCTGCAAGAGCCTCACTCGAGCAGAGAACCGAGAGTGAGCTATGTCTGGAGTGAGGTGAGGCCAGAGCGTGCAGGAATTTGGTGAGAGTGGGAATTAGGTGCTGGTTCCTAAGGGGAAGTAAGAGGAGATAGATAATGGCCTGGCAGGTGATGTGCGAGGAATGTGGTATGTGGGAGTTGATGGAGGGCAACCTGAGCCCGGGTGACTTCATCTGCAGCAAATGTCTGCAACTGAGCAAGCTCCAACTTAGAATAGCTGAGCTGGAGTCTCAGGTGCAGACACTGTGCTCCATCAGGGACAGTGAGAGTTTCCTGGACAGCATGGTGGAGACTCTCATTCCCCTAGGACTCAGTTATAGCAGCCCATCGCTGTATAGGGGCAATGAGAGAAGGGTACTGGAGCTATCGGGAGGTCAGACTTCAAGAAAAGGACCACTCCCAGGGGAGCCCAACACACAGCCACCCTTCATTCATGCTAAGAGTGATTGGGTGACAGTGTGATGGGGCAAGAAGAGGGCTTGTTCAAGGCAGAGCACCCCCAACAGAGTACCAGTCTCTAATCGGTACTCAACATTAGCTATCGAGAGCGTGGAAGCCTCTCGTGAGCACAGCAGTGGACATTCTGTCCAACAGGACAAGGGCATGGTTCACAAGGGCAATACAGTTGTGATAGGGGATTATATAGTAAGAGGCACTGACAGGATCTTCTGCAATCAGAATCGTGAGGCAAGGATAGTTTGCTGCCTTCCTGGTGAAAGGGTAGAGGACTTCACAGAGCACATGGACAAGATTTTTCGGGGGGGGGGAGGAGAATGTCCAGAAGTCGTGGTCCATGTGGGGACCCACGACATTGGTAAGAAGAGGGCTGAGATGCTTCAGGACGAGTATCAAAAGCTGGGGAGCAAACTCAAGTCCAGAACATCCAAGGTGGTGATCTCTGGGTTGCTCCTGGTACCTCGGGCAACGGGACACCACAGTGAAAGGATCAGGCGCATGAACGATTGGCTGGAGAAATGTTCCGCAAAAGAAGGTTTCCGTTTTCTGGACAATTGGGACCATGACTGGGGGAGGTGGGATCTTTACCTTGAGGATGGGCGGCACTTAAGCAAGGCAGGGGTGAGCTTCCTTGCCAAGAGATTATCAAATGCTGTAGGGATGGAAATAAACTAGTGTTGAGGGGGGATGGATATCCAAAGATAAACAATGGATTAGAGATTAGAGGAAAAAGACAAGTGGGAAGTGTAGAGCAGGTACAAGCGGACAATTTCCTCAAATGCATGTACCTAAATGCACGTAGCTGAGGGAATAAGGTTGATGAGCACCAGGTTCAACTGGCGTAGGGGCTTACGATGTGGTGGCAGTAACCGAGACATGACTCAAGCCAGGACAGGAATGGGAGTTAAATATTCCAGGAAATAATGTGTTCAGGAAGGATAGAGAAGGAAGAAAAGGAGGAGGGGTGACAATATTAGTTAAGGATACAATTATAGCTGTAGAAAGGAATGCGGCTCTGTAGGGTCCAACAACAGAATCCATCTGGTTAGAGATAAGAAATGAGAAAGGAGTGGTTACACTGATAGGGGTTTACTATAGACCACCAGATAGTAGGAAGGAGATAGAGGAGCAGATCTGCAACCAGATCACGGACAGATGTAAGGCGAACAGAGTTGTGATAATGGGGGATTTCAATTATCCCAATATAGATTGGCAAAATACCAGCGCTAAGGGCAAGGCAGGAGAAAGATTCATAGACTGGGTACAGGAAAATTTTCATGAGCAGTATGTCTCCAGTCCTACAAGGAAGGAAGCATTGCTGGATCTAGTCCTGGGGAATGAAATAGGGGTTGAACAGATTTCGGTAAGGGAGCATCTAGGTAACAGTGACCATAATATTATTAGATTTAGATTACTCATGAACAGGGACAAAGTACAGTTAAGGATGAACTAATTTTGATGGGCTAAAAAGGGACTAAGAGTTGGTGGACTGGCAAGTAAGATGAGCAGGTAAAATGACTCATGAGCAATGGGAGATCTTCAAAGATATGAAAGCTCAAGGTCTAAATAGATATATTCACACAAAAGGGAAATGTGCGACAACCAAGCCATCCTGGATGACCAGGGATATTCTGTCTAGGATGAAAAAGAAGAAGACGGCGTATGACAATTGGAAGACGCAAGATACTATAGAGACTGCAGGAGTGATCATAAAAGAGTGATAAGACAGGCAAAAAGATCACATGAGAAGAGGTTAGCGGGTAACATAAAGGGGAATCCTAAAATATTTTACGAGCACATAAAGGAAAAAACGTTAGTTAAAGGTAGGGTGGGGCCAATCAAAGACAATGACGGCCATCTTGTTGTGGAGGCAGAGGACAGGGCTGATGTACTGAACGGGTACTTTACATCTGTCTTCACAACAGAAATGGATGCCCCAAATGCCACAGTATTGGATGAGAGGGTAGAGGACATAGATCAGATTACTATAGACAGAGAGGAAGTTCCGAAAAGATTGACTGGGCTCAAAATTGATAAGTCACCAGGACCAGATGGGTTTGACCCAAGGTTGCTGTGGGAGATACGGGTTCAAATAGCGGAGGCTTTGGCTATTATACTTCAATCTTCATTGGACACAGGAGTGGTGCCAAGAGACTGGAGAGTGGCTAATGTTACCCCACTCTACAAAAAGGGGCAGAAAGACAAGCCCGGACATTACAGGCCAGTCAGCCTAACTTCGGTAATAGGAAAGCTACTGGAGACTGTAATCCAGGACAAAATAAATCTCTACTTAGAGGAACATGAGGTAATTAGAGACCGCCACCATGGATTGTTAAAGACAAATCTTGCCTAACAAATCTAATAGAATTTTTTGAAGAGGTGACTGTGTTAGAAAATAAAATCTTCTTTTCGAGTTCCAATCAAACACAATCACTGTTTGCAACCAGAGTAGTGTTTATTAAACTCCAGGATCCGTCCAAGTTCCCGATGGGCGTGGGCAAGTAAGCACAATCAATCAATTTACTAACAGAACAATACTACCGCATAATTCCTCCTCGTGGTCGTCTACTTCTGTCTTCTAGCTCTCAGTCTTCCATCCACGGTGGGTACTGTCCTGGGCGCGCACTGATCTTGGTCTGGCACAGTGTCTTAAGCTTGTGTCCATCCAATCATGGTGCGGACATTAGGTCACCTGGCCAAGATCATGCTGGGTTCACGTGAACATCTCATGGGGTGTACGTGCCTCAGCACACATATACATTGTCCTTAAGACCCCCGTTATCTGATCTAATTGTCTAAGATAGAGGATTGATCAGTTTAGCACTGTATCTGGTGCTCATTATTTTGTGGTGTGGGATCATTAGTACATTCCTTTTAAGTGACTGGTTATTTCTTATCAGTATCCCGGGATGGTACCAAGGCCCTCTAGTTTAAGCAACTTGCTCATTAATTGCTATTCTTGGGGGTTGCCTTCTGTCGGTTGGCCCTGTCAGAATCTAGCGACTTATTGCTCAGTCGAGATCCTGTGTCGACTGGTACCTTGGACCGTTAGCTCTGTGGGCTTGTTGTCATTTACTGATAAGAGGCGACCCCCTGCCCCTGTATGTTATTCTTTCAAAAACAGAGAAAACCAGATGTGTCCTATCCCATGACTGCCCACACTTAACTTAAAATTAACCCATTCACAACATCTATTATGATTCTAACATTATATAAAAAGTGTAAATTCTAACAACTGCGAGGGTTGATGAGGGAAATGCGGTGGACGTTATTTACATGGATTTCAAAAAGGCTTTTGACACAGTACCGCATAAGAGATTAATACAAAAATTAGAGGCCCACGGTATTAAGTGGCAGTTTGGATTAAGAACTGTCTCAGTGACAGTGACAGAAAGAGGTTGGTGGTTAATGGGTGCTTCTCGAAATGGAAGGAGGTGTGCAGCGGTGTCCCCCAGGGATCGGTATTGGGACCACTGCTCTTTCTAATATATATTAATGATCTGGACTTGGGCACAGAGAGCACTATTTCCAAGTTTGCAAATGATACAAAGTTAGGTCGGGTAGTAAATAGTGAGGAGGACTGTACTAACTGCAAGCAGACATACACAGAATGGTGGAATGGGCTGACATTGGCAGATGGATTTCAATATGGGTAAGTGTGAGGTGATACACTTAGGTAGGAAAAATGATAGGAGGCAATATAGACTTGGTAGCTCAATCTTAAGGGGGGTGAGCGTACAGAGAGATCTGGGTGTTGTAGTAAGCGAATCATTAAAGGTAGCGGGGCAGGTAGATAAGGCAGTAAAAATGGCATTTGGTGTACTGAGCTTCATTAGTAGGGGCTTAGAGTATAAGAGTAGGGGTTATGGTTAATCTATACAAAACACTGGTTAGGCCTCAGCTGGAGTACTGCGTCCAGTTCTGGGCACCTTACCTCAGGAAGGACATTAAGGCACTGGAAAGGGTGCAGAGGAGATCACAAGAATGATACCAGGAATGGGGAACCTTAGCTATGTGGACAGTGGAGAAGTTAGGACTTTTCCCTTTAGAGCAGAGAAGGTTACACGGGGACCTGATTGAGGTCTTCAAGATCATGAAAGGTTTCGACAGGCGAGATAGAGAAAAGCTGTTTCCGTTGTTAGGTGTAACTGTGACTCATGGTTACAGTCTTAAGATATCTACCAAAAGAAGCAGAGGGGAGGTTAGAAGAAATTTTTTCACTCAGCGAGTTGTTCGAATTTGGAATGATCTGCCCGAAAGGGCAGTGGAGTCCGATTCGATAACAGCTTTTAAGAGAGAACTGGATAGGTATCTGGAGAAGACGGGTTTGCAGAGTTATGGGGAGAAAGCTGGTAATTGGGGTTAGTGAAAGTGATGCTCTGTCAAAGAACCGGCACAGACTCGGTGGGCCAACTGGCCTCCTTCTGTGTCATAACATTCTATGAATCTATGAATAAATCTATGTTTAAAAATGTAAATCAGTGTTGGATTAGGATTATGTGTGTTTTTGATTCCAGTTACAGTCACTCTGGATCCTGACACAGCCCATCCCCGGCTCATCCTGTCTGAGGACCTGAAAAGTGTAAGACTGGGGGCCCAACAGAAGTTGCTCCCTGACACCCCAGAGAGGTTTGATTCCTGTGTCAGTGTCCTGGGATCTGAGGGCTTCACATCAGGGAGACATTATTGGGAGGTACAGGTGGGCAACAAGACTGACTGGGATGTGGGAGTGGCCAGGGAGTCCATCAATAGAAAGGGGGTAATCATACTGGCACCAGAGGCTGGATACTGGAGAATGACTATGAGAAATGGGAATGAATATGAGGCTGGTACGTCACCTCCTACTCCCTGCCCTCTGAGCGAGAGACCCAGGAAGATCGGAATTTTCCTCGACTATGAGGGGGGACAGGTGACATTTTACAATGCTGATAACATGTCTCATCTCCACACTTTCACCCACACTTTCACTGAGAAACTTTATCCTTACTTCAGTCCCTGGTTTAATGTTGATGGGAAAAACTCCAAGCCACTGACAATCTGTGCGATGACAGTATAATAAGGAAGAAAATTCCATCGACTCAAACTGAATGTCCCATTCATAATATTGGTCAACACTCAGATTGTTTGGTGTTATTTTCATCATTGGACCTGCATTGTAGCATTAATCATTCTGTCACTGTGCAGACAGCTTAATCAGCAATAACCAGAGAGACACAGACACAGCTTAATACAGAGAAATGTAAAGTGGTCGGAGTTGACAGAAGAAATTGTGTGCAATTGTCTGAATCAAATTGAGTTATTATACCAGTAACTTTGGGGAACACGTCACTACAATCATTAGTATAGGAAGCTAAACAAGCTGTGTTTGTTGCAATGTAAAGCTAAGGAGATGTTGTTATGATCTGGAATGCACTGTCTGAAAGTCTGTGGAAGCAGATTCGACAGCAGGTTTTCAAAAAGGAATTATATCAGTATTTGATAAATGAAACATTTGCAGGGCTATGGGGTTAGAATGGGGGAGTGGGACTAGTTGGTGGTTCTTTCAAGGAGGTGACACGATGGGCCGAATGGCCTTCTTCTGTGCTGTAAGATTCTATGATTCTAGAAACATAATCCCTTGCATTTATCACGTTATCAATGTCTCAAAGTGCTTCATAGGATTTACTACAAAATGTAGTGACTATTTAATTGGGGGCAAGTTGGCAGCCAAGTTATGGACAACCATGGGGTGAGTGACCAATTTTATCTAGGGGAGCGTTGGCTCGGACATTGGAAAAAGCTCTTCTCTTTTTGACTAGAGCCATGGGATCTTTAACCTTCACCTTAATAGGGAGATGGGACTTTAGTTTAATGTCTCATAGGAATATAGGAACATAGGAACAGGAGTAGGGAGGGCATCAAATGAAGGCATATCCGACAATATAGCATTTCCCCCCAACACTACGTTGGAGTGTCAGTTAGCCTGGATTATGAGCTAAAATTTCCTGACTTGGACCTTGAACCTACCAAGAAGTGAGAGTGCTCCCAGCTCTCAGGCTGACACCCGGGACCTGAAACCATTCATAAAGTATGGATGACTTCAAGCATATTCCTGTCAAGTAAAACGATTTCAAGGATATCAATTTGAATCAGAACATTTTAAATGTAAGACACAATAACAACTTGCCATTATATAGCATCCTCCACACAGGGTAGCATCTCAGAGCACTTCCCAGTGGCGGAGTCTGACTCCGAGCTGGTGGTGCCGAGGTGGGGGGAGGTGACACTCAAAAAGGATGTTGGGGCAAGGGGCTGAGGGATAGAGAGAGTGTGTTCCAGCAACTTGATAGTAAAACATCTTGGAAACACTTTGAGATATTTTGAGATAATTAGCACTGTATCAATGCAAAGAGTAATACTAGTTGAATTAATAATCCAGTACAGTACAGCTGCTGTGCATCTTTGTATTACTTTATGTAAACACGGTGTATTTTGTTTCGCCTACACCTTGTGAAGTACTTTAAGACATCTTGATGATGTGATACAATGCTAAACCAAATGCAAGGATTAGAATATATATATTTTTAGTATCATATTTTTGGTTTACTGCATTGTTTTAATTCAGTTTGACCTTTCTCATATTTACATACATGAGGGAGAAGGGAATAGAGGGATATGGGAGAGAGAGAATTCCTGAGGACTATAAAAACAATCACCCACTGCAGGAGTTAATCGTAATGGCCTGTTTTCTTTTGCACAGTCTGTGCAATTCTATGTAATATTCCCTGTAAATATTTAATAAATATTGCAACCAGTGATTTTGTTACCAATAAATGATTTTATTGCCTCACACCTGAACGTGTCTTTCTAGAGGAGAATGTAAAGACCCTTTTGCCCAATTCACCCAAACAGCATATTAAACCCCACTGGAATGTAAAATGCTTCCGCACCCAATTCACGGTAAGAGCCCTTCCCTTCAAAAACTATACAGCAGCGGCGGAGGTAAAGGGGCGACTACCACCCACTCCCCCTCTCTTCCTGTCACTTTCTGCGCTCAACCACAGGACCACAGCTTTCCTGGCAGAATGTCAGACATCAATTCTTGGATGAGAGCTAACTTGACTGTCGACAAGATCGAGGCTCTCCTGTTCGGTCCCCATCAGCACCTCCACACCTCAGGCGCTGACAGAATCGCTGTTCACGGATACACACTGCAGCTCCGTAAGCCAGTCCAGAACCTGGGCATCTTGTTTGACCCTCAACTATTCAGAACTCTGCAGCTCATGCCCTCTCCTGCACCAGGCTCCATGACCCCATCGTCCCCGCCCTTGTGCAGCTCCACTGCCTCCATTTCGAACTCTATCCCCCAGAGGATAGAGTTCAAAATCCTGATCCTCACATTTAAAGCCCTCCGCGGTCTTGCTCCTTCCCACCTCTGTGATCTATTAAAATGTAATCAGCCTGTCCGCTCCCTCCGCTCAGCCAATACTGGCCTATTCCACATCCCCAGGACCGTCTGCTTTACCTTCAGTGGCCTTCATTCTCTCTGCTCCCATCCACTGGAACTCTATCCTGGAGCCTTTCCATCTCACCCTCTCCCTTGTCTCCTTCAAGGCCCATCTCAAGACCTTCCTTTTTGACTGTGCTTTCAGTTATCTTCCCTCCTCCACCCCCAACCCAGCGATCGTGGAGTCCTGTAGCTCAGTGGTTAGAGCACTCGCTTTGCAAGCGAGAGACCTGAGTTCAATTCCAGGCAGAGGGCCAAACCTTGGGCAAGTTTCCTTACTCCACACAGAGCCTAATAATAATCCCTCCAAAACCAAAAACAATAATAAATTGGTCATTTTCAATCTACGACTGTTTGTGGGACATTGCTGTGCGCAATTGGCTGCCGCGTTCGCCCACAAACATACAGTCAATTCATTTTACAGTGTGTTCTGTGAAGCGCTTTGGGACGTCCTCCCGACGTGAAAAGTGCTATATCAAATGCAAGGATTATTATTATTATTACATCAAATGCAAGGATTATTGTATTATATTATTATTTATTATATAAATGCAATTTGTTGTCTGTAGAGTTAGTTATTTCAATTCAGTTTTATGTACGAGGGAACTATAAGGTTATCACAATCCTTTGAAACTATTTTATTTTGCATGAACTCTATTATGATTTTCCAAAGTGAAATGGCGTCATTTATTATATGCAGTCTCTCTCTCTCTCTCTCACACTCTCCGTGCAGTCTCTTGCTGACTGGATGTTGGGTCTCCATCAGGTAATGCACAAAGACTGGAATTAATGGAATCCTGTAGCTCAGTGGTTTGAGCACTCGCCTCGCAAGCGAGAGACCTGGGTTTGATTCTGGCAGGGAGAAATGTTGGACAAATTCCTTACTCCACATGCCTCTGTTTACGTAGCCGTAAGTAGGAACCCTGTTGTTAATCAATTTGCACATAATTTATTCCTTTAAAAAAATTGGTCACTTCAATCCAGACTGTGCTTTGGGACGTCCTCCCGACGTGAAAAGTGCTATATCAAATGCAAGGATTATTATTATTATTATTATTATTTGTGGGCACTGCTGTGTGCAATTGGCTGCTGCAGTTCACCCACAGAATATATAGACACTTGACTTTACAGTATATTCTGTGAAACACTTTGAGATGTCTCAAAGATGTGATAGGGTGCTATATCAATGCAAGGATTATTATTATCATCTGTCACTACACTGGCACTGACATACTGAAAAGTGAAATCCTGTGTATATATTTCCTCTTGTGGCTGCTTCCACCACTTTGTCTCAATAATAATAATAATAATAATAATAATCCTTGCATTTGATATAGCGCTTTTCACGTCAGGAGGACGTCCCAAAGCGCTTCACAGAACACACTGTAAAGTGAATTGACTGTATATTTGTGGGCGAACGCGGCAGCCAATTGCCATAGAAACATCTTTCAACTTGATCCTGACTGGAAAGGAAGGTAAGAGAGACTTTCAGATCACACTGTGTGTGGGAGGGCTGTACCTTGCTGGGAGAAGGGGGTGTTCTCTCTTGGCTTCACTCACCTCACGATCGGCCTCTTCATTCCAAGCCAGTGCATCATCAGAGTTTGTGCTTTTTACTTTCAATCTGGAAATGTTCATTTAGCTGACAAATCCCCAGTCATATTTTATTTCTGTTCTAGTTTGCCAGTGAGTGGATAGGTTCCACTTGCAATGATTATTCAGAGCACGTGCTTAATGGGGGTCAATGGCCCAGTGTGAAATGTACTTTTACTTGTAAATTGCTGTTATTCTGCAATCACTCTGTGATTTCTTGTTTTCTGTTGAACATTTTTTCTTGTTATTCAGCTTTGGAATTGTGTTTTTGTGCTTTCCAGTTGAGGAAGAAGCTGTGACTGTAAACGCTTGCATGACATGGACCCATTCTTGGGTGATTACAACATCTTCCAAACTGTGGGTGGGCGGTTGGGAAGGGAAGTGAAAGATGAGTCACAAGATCACAAGATACTGCAACCAGGAAGCCCGCAAGCCAGGCTGATGTGGGCACACAGACACAGTTGAGGATACACAAATTTATTCTCTCAAGAGAACAACTGAACAACAACAATCCACAATCCTTTATGGTTGGTGAACAAAATAAGAAAGAAATGAAAACACATTACCATCAAACATGGACCGATGTCGACAACAACAACTTGCATTTATAGCTCGGAGTTCAAGTAGGGTAGCTATCGGAAAGCTTAACAGTGGTGGAGCCTGACACCAAGCCGGGGGGAGGGGACCGTTGGAACAGCAGAAGAGGAAGGTCTTCAGAGCTGGTCTGTAAATGGGGAAAGAGGAGGCAAGGTGGAGGGACTGAGGGAGAGAGTTCCAGAGTTGGGGGGTGCAGTGGCTGAATACACAGCTGCCTATGGTGGAATGGAGGGCACAAGGGACAAGCAGGAGGCTGGACCCAGCCCGGTGGAGGTGATGGGTTGTGGCATTGCGAGAAAAGCAGGTTGGAGAGGCAAGGAAGTGCCAGGGTTTGAAGGGATCTGTAGAGTGAGAGGATCTTGAAATTGATCTGTTCTGTGACGGAGCCAGTGGATCCTGGCAAGGACTGGGGTGATGGGAGTGTGGAGTTCAGAGGGCTGCTTCTTGAAGGCCCCATGAGACATTTCTAGCCCACAGGCCATAGGTTGATCACTGCGACCTAAAATAATGCAATCGTGGAGGCTGTAGGCACCTTGGATGGCGCTCAGTGTCCTGCGTGCCTCATACATGGATGCGACCTCAGAATCTCCCCACCAAACCCCACCACTGCACTACCAAACCTCAGGCCTGCCATCTGGCCTACGCTGAGGCTTCTTTGTGTCTCTGTAACTTCAAAGTATCTGCTACTTTATTAGTATCCATAATCACAAATCTCTGTGTGTAACGATCTGATTTTCTGTGTTGTAACCAGTTGTGATCTCATTGTGCAGATCCGAGAAGATGAGCTGGAAACACGGTATTCAGGTCCTATGGCTTGTGCTTCCCCTCTCACTGACTGGTAAGGAAACACATTTATGTCTTTGATTTCTGTTGGTGTTAAATTGCTGAAGGTAAAGGGGGAGCTGCTGAAGACCGTGGCTGGGAGTGAGCGAAATTCACGCACTGACAGCTGCTGATGTTCTACCTTAATATTTATAATAAATCCTGCATTTGATATAACGCCTTATAACATCTTTAAGATGTCTCAAAGCATTTCACAGAATATACTACAAAGTAAGTTGACTGTATATTTTGTGGTTGGAATGAGGCAGCCAATTCCCAAAACAGTCATGGTGTGAGTGATTAAATTATTACAATTTCATTTATTTATTTATTGGAGGGATTATTACCCTCGGAAATGCGGTCAGCCAATTGACTAACAACCAAGTTCCTATTCACTGCAAGGTAACCAGAGGCGTGTCGAGTAAGGAAACTTGCCGAACATACCGCTCTGCATGGGAATCAAACCCAGGTCCTCTCTCTTGCGAGGCGAGCGCTCTAACCACTGAGTTACAGGAAGTTGTACCAGTGCCATTCTGCAAATCCTAACTTTTTTCCCCTTTCTTTTGTAATTAAACAGAGAGATTCACAGTCAGTGGCCCGGCCCTCCCAGTCCCAGCCATTGCTGGTTCGGATGTTGTGCTGGACTGTAAGTGTTCCACAGACCTTCCCCTGGAGGGTGTGGAGGTGAGATGGTTCAGGACAAGATTTGACTCCCTTGTGCACTTATACAGTGAGGGGCGCGATCAGACAGGCGAGCAGGAAGAAGCCTACAAACACAGAACAGAACTTTTTAAAAAGGAATTCATTCATGGCAATGTATCTCTCAAACTCAAAGATGTATGGGGCTCAGATAATGGCACCTACAGATGTTTCATTGACTACGCTGGATGGTATGAAGAGGCAGTGATGGAGTTGAAAGTTATAGGTTTGAAATGTTTACAACTCATTTTTTTGGGGGGTAATGGTGTGTAAATACAATCGTTATGTTATTCTGTGTTTGAAATACATTATAAACAAAGAAAAGTCTGTAAACAATCTTGCATTTAATATAGTGCTTTTCATGTCTTCTCGACAGCTCAAAGCGCTTCACAGAACATGATGTAAAGTGAATTGACCGTATATTTGTGGACGAAACGCGGCAGTCAATTGAGCATTGCAGTGTCCCACAAACTGTCATTGAATGAAAATTATCAATTTATTATTGTTTTGTTTTAGGGATTATTATTAGGCTCTGTGTGGAGTAAGGAAACTTGCCCAAGGTTTCGCCCTCTGCCTGGAATTGAACCCAGGTGTCTCGCTTCCAAGGCGAGTGCTCTAACCACTGAGCTACAGGACTCCACTTTAATGATAATTACATTCCAAAGTAATGATAATGATAATAATCTTTCCAATTGATATGACGCCTTATCGCATCTTTGAGACATCTTAAAGTGCTTCACAGAATGTACTGTGAAGTGAATTCACTGTGTAGTTGTCTGTGTATTTTGTGGGTGAAACTACATGTGTTTTAATAACATAAAGTGCCGTGGAGTCCTGTAGCTCAGTGGTTAGAGCACTCGTTTTGCAAGTGAGAGACCTGAGTTCAATTCCAGGCAGAGGGCGAAACCTTGGGCAAGTTTCCTTACTCCACACAGAGCCTAATAATAATCCCTCCAAAACCAAAAGCAATAATAAATTGGTCATTTTCAATCTATGACTGTTTGTGGGACATTGCTGTGTGCAATTGGCTGCCGCGTTCGCCCACAAATATACAGTCAATGCACTTTACAGTGTGTTCTGTGAAGCGCTTTGGGACGTCCTCCCGACGTGAAAAGCGCTATATGAAATGCAAGGTTTATTATTATTATAAATGAATGTAATTTAATATCATCTATTCAGAATGTTGTCAATGTGTTTTCATTAAAGTTACTGCACTGTAATATCCTGGGGATAAATATTGTCTGATTCACGACTCCTGTCTCTTCCAGGCCTTGGCAGTCAGCCTTGGATTCACGTTGATGGGCAGCACAGTGATGGTGTGAGGCTGCTGTGTGAATCCAGTGGATGGTTCCCAGCACCAGAGGTTCTATGGTTGGATGATCAGGGAAACAACTTAACAACGTTCAGTAACTGGACGGTCAGAGAGGATTCTAAAGGTCTCTACAGTGTTAAAAGCCAAATAGAAATAATCCATTCAACGAACAAGATCAGGTGTCTAATTCACAATGAAGAAAATGAACAAGAAGGGAAACTGCATATATCAGGTCAGTATTTACACTGAATTACTAATGATAGTCTGATAAATATGATACAGATTTCTGTAACTTACAAGATCTCAGCAAAGAGTGTTGAGTAATGAATTGAAGGCGATTTGTTGTTTGATATCAGAATGAAAGGATTTCCTTAGTGTAGTGGCCTCACAAGCAGGAGGACCTGGGTTCAATTCCCAGGCATGAAGAAACCTTAGGCAAGTTTCCTTACTCCACACAAATGCCTCTGCTTACCTATCATTAAGTAGGAATACGATTGTTGGTCAATTGGAGGATCGTTTTCTGGGAGTAATAATCTGTCCCCCCGAAAATTTGGTTACTCAATCCATGACTGTTTGTGTGACACTGCTGTGCGCAACTGGCTGCCATGTTTTGCCCACAAAATAGAGTCCTGCACTTTACTCTGTAAAGCACTTAGAGATGTAACACCAAAGTAATATCAAATGTGTAGATTATTATTATCATTATCAATGAACATCTATTTACATTTCTTGACAGATGAGTTCTTTCCCAAAGTGCCAGTGAATTTGGTGGTTTCCTCAGTGCTTTTAGGACTTGTCACAGTGGCTCTGAGTTTTGTTTTGCCTTACAATATAAAGCAGCACAGAGAGATTAAAGGTATGTACTGATAACAAAAAGATCACAAATGATAAAACTCATGTGGTTTCATGTGAAATGCAATATACTTCATGCAAGATTTATGAATAAAATGTGCAGTAGTTTTAGATGAATGTGGGAACCATTCGGTGATCTATAATACACAGCTGTTATACTGATATTTATTTTAGGATAACTATGTGAAGGCAATTCTCATAGTATTAGTTTGGTGCCAGAGATTGTAAGACATGATAGAAATCATTCTGAAGTAAGCAGCATTTTTCAGAGAAATTCTTACTTCAGATATCACAGCTAATTTGTTGAAAACCAATAACAAAGTATTTTTCAAAGAAATGTGATTACAAACTTACAGTGCAAAATTTGTGTAATTGTATTGTGTATACTATAGACCACCAAATAGTGGGAAGGGGATAGATGAGTAAATCTGCAAGCAGATTTCAGAAAGATGAAAAAGCAGTAGAGTAGTAATAATGGGGGACTTCAATTATACTAACGTAGACTGGCACAATAAGAGGGTAAAGGGCAAGGAGGTGGAAGGATTCCTGAAATGTGTGCAGCATAACATTCTGGATCAGTATGTTTCCAGCCCAACAAGGAAGATATTAATACTGGCTCTAGTTCTGGGGAATGAAGTGGAGCAAGTGGACCAGGATTCGGTAGGAAAGCATCTGGACAACAGTGATCACAGCATCATTAGGTTTAGAGCACTTATGGAAAGGAACAAGGAACAATCAAAGGTGAAGATACTCAACTGGAAGAGGCTAATTTCAGTGAGTTAAAGAGGGACTTAGCCAAGGTGGACTGGAAAGAAAGATCGGCAGATAAATCAGCTAAAGGACAATGGGAAATCTTCATGAAGAGCTGGTTCAGAGGTAGAACAAATACATTCCCAAAAATGGGAAAGTTAGGGCATCCAAACCTCCCTGGATGACTAAGGAGATTGGGATTAACGTAAAACAGAAAAAGGAGCCTGATGATAAATATCATGAACAAAATACAGAAGATAATCGAATAGAATATAGAAAGTACAGAGGAGAATTGCAAAAGGAAATAAGAGGAGCAAAGAGATTATATGAACAAAGGTTAGTGGGTAACATCAAAGGTAACCCTAAGGTATTTTGTAAACAAATAAAGAGTTAAAGATTAGTCAAAGTTAGGGTGGGGACAATTTGGGACCAAGTTAGATGATCCAGATGGGATGCATCCTAGATTACTGAGGGAAGTAAGTATTGGAATAGCGGAGGCTCTGGCCACAATCTTTCAATTCTTCTTGGACACCGAGGTGTTGCCAAATATTAGTCCCCTGTAAAAGAAGGGGCAGAAGGGTAAACCCGGGAACTACAGGTCAGTCAGCCTAACGTCAGTAGTGGCGAAACTTCTAGAGACTATAATTTGGGAGAAATAAATTTTCACTTAGAAAAATATGGGTTAATAAAGGATAGCCATCAGTCAATTTGTTAAAGGCACATTGTGTCTAACAAACCTGATACGGTTTTTTGATGAAGTAACAGAGAAGGTGGTTGAAGATAGGGCAGTTGATGTAGTTTATATGGATTTTCAAAAGGTGTTTGATAAAAAGGCAATTTAAGAGACTTGTAAGCAAAATAGAAGCCCACGATATTAAAGGGACAGTGGCAGCATGGATGCAGATCTAACTGGTGGACAGAAAGCAGAGAATGATGGTGAACGGTTGTTTTTCTGACTAGAAGGAAGTGTGCAGTGGTGTCCTCCAGGGGACAGTATTGGGACCACTGCTGTTTTTGATCTATATAAATAACCTGGAATTCAGTATAGAGAGTACAATTTCCAAGTTTGCAGATGACACTAAGCCAGGAAAAGCAATAAACAGTGACTGCAAGAGGAGATAAACAGACTGGTGAGCAGACACATGCCAGATGAAGTTTAATGTGGATAAATATGTAGTGATGCATTTTGGGAGGAAGAATGAGGAGAGGCAATATAAGCTGATGGTACAATCTTAAATGGAGTGAAGGAACAGAGAGATCAGGGGGTTCATATAAGTAACTCTTTGAAGGTAACAGGATAGGAAGATAAAGCTGTTCAAAAAGTATACGGAATATTAAGCTTTATACATAGGGGCATAGAATACAGAAGTCAGGAAGTTATGATGAACCTTTATAAAACACTGGTTAGGCCTGGAGTACTGTGTTCAGTTCTGGGTACCACACTTTAGGAAGGATGTCAAGGCAATGGAGAGGGTGCAAAGGAGATTTACTGGGATGGTACAAGGATTGAAGGACATCAGTTATCAGCAAAGGCTAGAGAAGCTAGGATTATTCTCCTTGGAGCGAGAAGGTTTAGAGGTGACATAATAGAGGTTTTCAATATTATGAGGGGATTCGATAAGGTGAACAGGGAGAAATTATTTCCACTAGAGGGTGGGTCGGTAACCCGAGAACAAAGATTTAAAATAGTTGTTAAAAGCAACACAGGGGAGGTGAGGAAAAAAATTTTCAACTGCGAGTTGTTCGGATATGGAATCCATTGTCTGAAAGTGTGGTGGAAGCCGATTCGATAACAACTTTTAAGAGAGAAGTAGATCATTATTTGGGGAGAATAAGGTTGCAGGGCTATGGGGAGAGAGCGGGAGAGTGAGACTGATTGGATAGCTCTTTTCAAAGAGCTGTCACAGAGATGATGGGCCAAATTGCCTCCTTCTGTGCTGTACAATTCTATGATTTTATTGATCTGTATTTCTCACAGGTTTGGTTAAAATTGTAAATATGCAGAACTTCTTTCAAAATAATATAGTATTAAGAATACGTTTGAGATTATCCTAATAATTTTATTTGTATCCAATAGATCTCCAGAAAAGACTGGGTAAGTCAGCAAAATTAAATAACATTTGAATGTTGTGATTAAATGATAACCAACACATTTCATCTCCGACCACCAACTTTATAAATATTTGCTTGTACTGTCAAATATGTTAACATGATGGTAAAGTGCGATATTCATTGTGGTTCATTCATTTGGTTTATAGACCCCCAAACAGTGATCACAATATAGCACAGGATATTAATCAAGAAATCAGTAGAGCATGTAGGAAAGGTAAAACGATAATAGTGGGTGATTCGAATCTCCACATAGATTGGGAAACCCAAATCGGCAAAAGTAGGTCAGAAGAAGAGTTCATTGCATGTTGAGCGATAACTTTCTAGAGCAGCGCGCCAAGGAACCAACTAGGGGACAAGCCATCCAAGACTTTGTTCTGTGTAACGAAACAGGGCAAGTTGGCAGTGTAGGTATTACGAATCCTCTCGGGCAGAGTGACCACAATATGATTGAATTCGGCATTAAGTTAGAGAGGGATATAGTTAAATCCGAGGCAAGTATTCTAAACTTAAATAGGGCTAATTTTGTAGGTATCAGGAAAGATTTAGGTAAAATAGACTGGAGAATAAGATTAAGAGGTAAAAATGTACCACCAACAGTGGTAAATATTTAAGGATGTAGTGCAAAATTCTCAACGGTTACATAATCCCTTGCGGAATAAGAGGGAAAGCAATTCATCCGTGGCTAACTAGAGGAGTTAGGGAAAGCATCAAATTAAAAGAATAAGCTTATAAAACTGCTAAGAAAAACAGCAAATCTGAAGATTGGGAGAGTTTTAGAAACCAGCAAAAAAAAAACTAAAAAACTCATTAAGAGCGAGAAAAAAGAGTATGAGGGTAAGCGAGCGAGGAACATTCAGTCTGATTGTAAAAGCTTTTAGAAATATATTAAGAGGAATAAGCTCGTGAGGGTAAATGTAGGTCCACTACAGTCAGAGACGGGAGAAGTTGTAACGGGGATAAGGATATGGCAGAGTCCCTGAATGGGTACTTTGCATCTGTCTTCACCCGAGAAGACACAACAAGTCTACCAACAATAGAGATGCACCAAAGGGATAAGGACAGGGAGCAACTTAGGGAAATTTTCATTAGTAGAGAATTGGTGCTGGGAAACTGTTAGCACTAAAAAGCGACAAATCCCCTGGTCCGGATGGCTTACATCCCAGGGTTTTAAAAGAGGAGCTTATGAAATAGTGGAGGCCTTATGTCCGATCTTCCAAAATTCCTTGGATTCTGGAACAGTCCCCATGGATTGGAAGATCGCAAATGTCACACAAAGGTGGAAAGGAAAAGATGGGGAATGATAGGCCAATTAGTCTCACATCAGTTATAGAAAAATTTTTAGAATCATTGATTAAGGATGTGGTAGTGCGGTATTTAGGGCACAATATAATTAGGCCAAGTCAACATGGCTTTACAAAAGGGAAGTCATGATTGACAAATCTCATAAGAGTTTTTTGAAGATATTTCGAGTAAACTAGATGAGGGTGAATCAGTGGATGTGGTCTATTTGGACTTCCAGAAAACATTCGATAAGGTGCTGCATAAAAGGTTAGTCCAAAAGTTAAGGGCCCATGGAATTGGGGGGAGCATATTAACGTAGATTGGGGAATGGTTAATGGGCAGGAAAGAAAGAGTAGGGATAAACAGATCCTTTTCGGATTGTCGGGATGTGACTAGTGGAGTGCCACAAGGATCAGTCCTTGGGCCTCAGCTATTTACCATCTACATCAACGACTAGATGAAGATATCAAAGCTAGTATATCTAAATTCACAGATGACACAAAACTAGAAGGAAGTGTAAACACAGAGGATGACATTACAAAAATACAGCGAGACATAGATAGGTTAGGTGACTGGGCAGGTAAGTGGCAGATGAAGTATAATGTAGGGAAGTGCGAAGTCATCCACCTCGGTAGCAAAAACAGTAGAGCCGGTTATTTTTTTAGAAGGGGAGAGATTGGAATGTGTTAGCGTCCAGAGGGACTTGGGTGTCCTTGTACACCAATCACAGAAAGTTAGTCTGCAGGTGCAGCAGCAATTAGGAAGGCGAACGGTATGTTAGTATTCATTATGAAAGGATTAGAGTATAAGAGTAGGGAAGTCTTGCTGCAACTGTATAGGGCTCTGGTGAGACCACACCTGGAATACTGTGTGCAGTTTTGGTCTCCTCATTTAAGGAAGGATGTACTTGCCTTGGAGGGGGTGCAGCGCAGATTTACTAGGTTAGTACCAGGGATGAAGGGGATAAGTTACGAGGATAGGCTGAACAATTTGGGTCTATATTCTCTAGAATATAGAAGAATTAGAGGGGAACCTTATAGAAACCTATAAGATCATCAAAAGGCATGATAGAGTAGAGAGTGGGAGATTGTGTCCCCCGGTTGGAGAAACTAAAACCAGGGGTCACAACCTTAAAACCAGAGGCAGCCCTTTCACACTGAGTTGAGGAAGAACTTCTTCACTCAAAAGGTGGTGAATGTATGGAACTCACTACCCCAAAGGGCTGTTTTTGCTCAGTCCTTGAATATATTCAAGACTGAGATAGATAGATAGATTTATTATTGCAAAATGGATTAAGAGATATGGGAATAATGCAGGGTTATGTTATTATCTGGAGTTAGATTGGAAGATCACCCCTGATTGAATGGCGGGGCAGGCTCGAAGGGCTGAATGGCCTACTCCTGCTCCTACATGTTATGTTATGTGGCTGAACATGTTATGTTATGTGGCTGAACATCCACTTCTCTTCAACCGTGCCTTCAGCTCCCCTCTCGACTCTCTACCCCCTCCTCGCTCCCTCCCTTCCCTCCCCTCACCATTTCCCCACTGCTCAGGTCCCAACCCAACTGTCCAGCGCCTTGGGACGTCCTCCCGACGTGAAAGGCGCTCTATAAATGGAATCTTGTTGTTATTGTTGTATGTTATCTTATGTTACCAGTGATAATTGTCACATTGTGGTTTTGCCATTCCATCCCAACTTATTAAAAGTGCTTCAAGATGCTCTTCCTACATGAAAGGCGCTGCATAATAATAATAATAATCCTTGCATTTGATATAGCGCTTTTCACGTCGGGAGGACATCCCAAAGCGCTTAGAGGCTGTTGTTATGAACTAAATAAAGTTGGGAAAGTGAATATAGGTCTAATAATCAACTGAAACTCAATTTACATGATATCATTTGCTGACAACTCAGCAAATTCTCAGTTCTATATCTGACAAGGTTATATTTCATGTGTAGTTATTATGTTGAAGCTTACAGTATCAATTCAATCCCCTTTGAATTGTCTCCCTGAGTTGTTAGTTATTATCCAATTATCTGTGCATATTATTATGTGATTATGGCTATTATTAATAATAAAATTCTTACATTTGGTACAGCACCTTTCACATCAGGAGGAAGTGATGTGAAAGTGCTTCACAGAATACAGTTAATTGGAATGACTGTGGCTGCAGGTAAACAAATTAGCCCAATTTCACACAGCAATGACCCATAAATAACCAAGAAGTGACTAATTTTTAGTGACTAATGAATGACCAATTTTTTCTGGAGGTTTGTCAGCCAGAACACCAGGAGAGAGCAACTCCCTTCACTTTCAAATAGTGCCAAAGGATCTTTAACACCCACTTGAACAGGAAGACTGAAACTCGGTTTAACGTCTCACCTGAAGGACAGCACTTCCGACAATGAAACACTCCTACAGCGCTGCAATGGATGGTCAGCCCAGTCTTCGAGCTCAGAGTAACTGATGTGGAGCTCTGAGTCATTGTTATGACTGAGAGACGAGAGTTACAGACTGAGCCAGTTTTGCTGAATGATGTTCATCTAAACATTCACAGTGATGCTGAGCGTTTTCAAAAACCTTTCCTTTTTCTTTTCAGAGATGAAAAGGCTTTCCCGTTGTGCAGGTAATTATATAGAGTGAGAGGCACAGACACACATCATTCCGCTCAGCCAGTCTATGTTTATACACCATGTGTTTCCCCCACTCCTCCTTTTCCCCCTCACCTCACAACCAGCTAAGTCACATAGTTTGCCTTTGAGAGCACCGTCTGGCTTGCCTCCTGCTGCTAGTCCAGCTAGGACCACCCTGACCATTAGGGCTTTGGCTGCAGGGTTAACAGGAGCTCAGTGGGATGACTCCCTGCCCCCAGTGACTGGTCTGCCCTTCCAAGTCCTGCCAATGTGCTGTTATCAGCAGTGACCTGGAATACTGCGGCTGCACCTGGCTCAGGAACTGAACTAGAGACGTCACAGCCTCGATTCCCGACATTCTGTTGACAAACATGTCACCATGGAGCCAGTTCAGCCCCACAGAGACCCCGTTTACAGCTGTCGATAACACAAGGCAGAAGGTTCCTCTATGGGGAGGTGCCAGATGCCAGACTTGCTTCAATCCACTGAGGGTTTGCTGCTCCGACTTCAGTCACAAGCAATTCAAATCTCCATCTCTCTTTGGTGATTCACACTTTACACCAAATTCAACCCAGCTGCAAATGAGAGTCACTGATCTGCAATTACAAACTCAGATCCTTTTCTTTCTCCCAAGTAATCTGTTCATTTCAAAAATAATTTGTGAATCAATTCAATGAGAGAAGCCTCAGAACACACACATTTAAATAATGATTTTTTTTGGTCAGCTGCGTGTCTGATGCATGTGGAACCCCATCATTGTGTATAAGAGTGTCCAAACCAACCTGAGAATTCCATCCATTCCACAGAGATATTTGTTTGTATGGATTGACCTCTCTCTCCTTGGAGGGATGCATCCCTCTTACCTAATTCTGGAAAGTATCAGGCATAGGTTGGCAAGAGCTAAGGCTTGGGGACCCAATAGTGTGTGTTGGGGTAACTGCTGGAGTCTAATCAGCTAAAACCGCGTAGCTTGCCATTGATATTGCTGTCTGCTTGCCCAGCTAGGACCACCCTACTAGGGCTTTGGCTTACAGGGTTAACAGGAACTTGAGTGGGAGGAATCTCTACCGCCAGTGACTGGTCTCTGTGAAGAGAAAATAGTCAAATGTGTTTGTTTTCTTCTGGAGTAGAGGACATGCAATTCAAAAGGAATGTAATAGAGTGAAGGGACATAACAGAGTTGATAGGGGAAAGCTATTTCCTTTAGTTGGAGTATCAGGCTCAAAGGCCACAGTTTCAGGATTGTCAACAAAAAATGTATGGGAGAGTTTGTGATGGATTTTTCTCTCAACAAGTTATAGGGGTTTGGAATTCATTACTAAAGCTACTGTTGATCCTGAATCAATATTAAAAGGGAAATGAATAATTACCTGAATATTAAAAATATTTAAAATTATGGGGAGAGTTTGAAAGTGGAATTAATAAAAGAAAGGATGCTTTAGGAAAAGAGGCAGCAGTGACATGGACACAATGGACAGAAAATGCCAATGTTTTGTTGTGAATTATCAGCTTGTTTTTTGGTTTTTTTTCAGTTTATTAAAGCTTAATTGTATTTGGGGATTTTTTTAATTGAGATATTCAATTTTATTCAATTTGTTCAACTCTAAAACTTTTGGCTGAACTTATAATTCCCAATATAAATTCTTAATGTAATTTTTTATGTAAGCTTGATTCACATTTTCTATTTTTTTAAAGTTCGAGTCACTCTGGATCCTGACACAGCCCATCCTAATCTCATCCTGTCTGAGGACCTGACCAGTGTGAGACTTGGAGGCCAAATGCAGCCACTCCCAGACACTCCAGAGAGGTTTGATCGCTGGGTCTGTGTCCTGGGATCTGAGGGATTAACATCAGGGAGACATTACTGGGAAGTGCAGGTGGGCAACAAGACTGCGTGGAATGTTGGAGTGGCCAGAGAGTCTGTCAACAGGAAAGGAGACATCACAGCCACACCACAGACTGGATACTGGACTGTGATATTGAGAAATGGAAATGAATACTGGGCTGGTACCTCACCTTGGACCCGCCTGCCTCTAAAAGTGAAAGTCAGGAAGATCGGAGTTTTCCTGGACTATGAGGGGGGACAGGTGACATTTTACAACGCTGATAACATGTCTCATCTCCACACTTTCACCCACACTTCCACTGAGAAACTTTATCCTTTCTTCAGTCCCTGGTTTAATCTGGATGGAAAAAACTCTGAACCATTGACAATTAGTTCCTTTACACATCGATTGGAAAGATAAATTTATGTCACCCATTCCATTTTTTATTATTTTTTGAATTGTGGAGATTTGCTTTTTGTTTGGCATTTTCTCAAATTCCCAACTGACCCTCTGACTGTGAACAATACTGATCCAAGACCAGAAGCCTGGAATTCAAGCACTCTGAGATGCTACTCTATGTGAGTCAAGTTGAATTGGGATTGAATTGGATAGCTCTTTTCAAAGAACCAACACAGAAACAATGGGCTGAATGGCCTCCTTCTGTGCAGTATAATTCTATGGAAGAAAGCAATAAGAGGAGCAAAAAGGAAGTATGAAAAAATGATTATTAAAAGCAATAGTAAAAGATTTTATAAATATATTAAAAGAAAGAGAATGGTCAAGTGGAATACGGGTCCGTTAAAGACTATAATAGACTATAATAGAAATAAGGAAATGGCTTACTTGTTAAATTAATACTTTGCTACCATTTTTACAGAAGAGAATGAGGATAAAATACCAGCCATAGAGGGGAACCTAAAAATAAGTGAAACAAAAATACTTAATAAAATTAATATCAATAAAACAATGGTATTGGAGAAACTAAAGAGACTCAAGATAGACAAATCTCTGGGAACTGGTAGTTTCCGCCCCAGGATGTTAAAGGAAAAAGGAGAGAAAATTGGAAATGCATTCGTCATAATTTTCCAAAGCTCACTAGATTCAGGAATTGTGCCCTTAGATTGAAAAATTGTGAATGTCACTCCTTTATTTAAGAAGGGAGGGAGAGAAAAACCAGGAAACTACAGACCTGTCAGCTTAACATCAGTTATAGGAAAAATACTGGAATCCATCATCAGGGATAGAGTGACTGAACACTTGAACAGATATGAGCTAGTAATAGAGATTCAGCATGGGTTTGTGAAGGAAGGGTGGGTTGTGTCTGATTAATTCAGTTAACATTTTTAGGAAGTCACTAAAATGGTGGATAAGAGTGTCTATGGATGTTGTTTATGTGGATTGCAGAAGGCATTTGATATTAGTCAAAATGGAAGCACACGGTGTCAGAGATAAACTTGTGACATGGCTTGGTAATTGGTTGAGAGGCAGGAAACAACGGGTAGGGATAAAGGAAACGTTCTCTGATTGGCGAGACGTGACAACACCAGGGGTAATAACGTCTCTGTAACTACCCTATAAATCCCTTTACCATCTCATCGATTGGGGGATCGCTTTTCCAGGGATAATAATTCCTTCAAAAAAGTACCACCAATAATTTGGTCGCTCATTCCATGACTGTTTGTGGGATCCTGCTGCGTCAATTGGATGCTGCATTTCGCCTACAAAATATAGTCAATCCACTTTATAGTATATTCTGTGAAGCGCTTTGAGATGTCTCAAAGACATGATAAGGGGGATATCAAATGCAAGGATTATTATTATTATTAAAATTCATTGTCAGCTCGTCTCTGTGCTTATGTTGAGAGACTCTTTGAATTTCCATCCGGTGTGTGAGCTCACACGCTCTGAAACAGGGATATCGCTGATATCTTTCTCTCCAGCAATGCCCAGTCTCACAGTCGGGGCTGTGCTCAGAATTTCACTGAAATCTCCCAAATCACTTTTATATCTATAAACAAGGAGACATGTTGTTCTCCAGTGAACAGCCGCGTCTCACTGTGTATGAACAATGTGTATTTTCAGTGTCATCTTTTATAATCTGTAGCATTTCTCATTCACTGTAACAATCACACAAGAAGTGCCATGTATTGGAGACGTTAAACCGAGGGCCACTCTGTGTCTGTTCAACTGGATATTAGTATCCAAAATATTGACATTCACGTGCAAAATACTGCCTCAATTTGCAATAAGTCATGTGATATCATTAGTTTATGTCCAATCATTATACCAATCTACGCTCCCCAATACACACAAACAACAACAACTTGCATTTATATAGCCCTTCACATGGCGCAGTGTCCCGCAGCACTTGACAATGTTGGAGTCTGATCCTGATACAGGGGGAGAGGGAGGGGAGAGGTGACCGAAACCCGAATCAAAACTATAGATCTTTAGTCTTAAGGAAAACGTCTACATGTATGTGGTGTTGTGACGAATACAGGTGTAGTGTAGAATACAACTTTGATATAAACCTATTTATTGTTACAGATAATGACATAGAATTACATTGAACGTACAGCACAGAAGTAGGCCATTCGGCCCAATTGGCCTATGTCAGTGCTTATGCTCCACATGACCCTCCTCCTGCCCTTCCTCAACTAAGCCTATCAGTGTAACTTTCTACTGCTTTCCCCCTCAAGTATTTATCCAGCTTCCCCTTAAATCCATCTTTGCAATCAGCCTCAACTGCTCCTTGTGGTAGCAAGTTCCACATTCCCACCGCTCTCTGGGTAAAGAAGTTTCTTCTGACTTGCCTATTTAATTTATTGGTGACTATTTTATATCAATGGCCCCTGGTTTTGGTCTCCCCTCAAGTGGAAACATCTTCTCTAGGTCTATCCTATCAAAATCTTCCATTATTTTAAAGACCTCTTTTAGGTCACCCCTCACCCTTCTCTTTACCAGAGAAGAGTCCAGCTTGTCCAACCTTTCCTGATAGCTATAACCTTACAGTTCTGGAATCATCCTTGTATATCTCCTTTGCACCCTCTCCGGTGCCTCTACATCCTTTCTATAATACGGGGACCAGAACTGTATACAGTATTCCAAGTGTGGTCTAAGTAAGGTTTGATATAAGTTTAACATGACTTCCCTGCTTCCATTTCTATACCTCTAGATATGAACCCCAATGTCTGGTTTGCTTTTTTTATGATCTTGTTAACCTGCGTCGCTACTTTTAGCAATTTGTGTGTCTGTACCCCGAGATCCCTTTGCTCCTCAACCCCATTCAGTTTCTTATTTTTCAGGCAGTATATGACCTCCTTATTCCTCCTAACAAAATGTAACACCGCACACTTATCTATATTGAAATGAATTTGCCAATTAAATGCCCATTCAGCAAGTTTATTAATGTCTTGTAATTTGTTGCGGTCCTCCTTAGTATTAAATGCAGCCCCCAATGTGGTGTCATCCAAGAAATTAAGAAATTGTACTTTTGATCCCAGAGTCCAATAATATTTGAACCCGGAGTATAATAATAATGTGTTTCATTGTCATTTATTATACAATAAGTGATTTATTCTTTAATTAAAGGATTCCCTGCTTTATATGTAATATATATCATATAGTGTATATTTGATTTTTTGTCTTTATATTATACTAGCTGTACCTGTTGCTGCTTTATTTGAAACCAAATGATCCCATATGGAATGCAGATTGACATACAGACAGTCACACAGACAGATATTTAATCTTTATTTATACTCATCTGGGAGGACTCCTGTTGGAGGACTCCTTTAATATATTTTGTCTCACGGTCTCTCTCTGTCTCCCTCTCTCAGTCTCCCTGTCTGTCGCTCAGTCTCTCTCCAAATCTCTCACTCCCAGTTTCACTCTCTCTCTCTGTCTCTCACTATCTCAGTCTATCTCAGTGTCTCTCTCTCTCTGTTTCTCTTTCTATCCCTTTCACTATTTCAGTCTCTGTCTATTTCGCTGTTGCTCTCAGATTCTCTCTCTGTCTCTCCCTCAGTCTCTCTGTCTCAAGACCTTTCTCTTTGACCGAGCCTTCAGCTCCCCTCTCGACTCTCTACCCCCTCCTCGCTCCCTCCCTTCCCTCCCCTCACCCTGACCATTTCCCCCACTGCTCGGGTCCCGACCCAACTGTCCAGCACCTTGGGACGTCCTCCCGACGTGAAAGGCCCTCTATAAATGCAATCTTGTTCTTGTTGTTGTTGTCTGTCCCACATGGGAGGACACGGCTCCCACGACTACCAGAAGAAAGCCATACATTTGTTGCAGAGTATAGATGTATCTCTCTGAACAGTTTGTGCTTTCGTCTGTCGCTATGTAGTTGCAGAATACGATGGATACTTCATATATAAGGCTTAATTAAAGCATTTTTTAATATAGCTAATTAACGATGGGCAAAAAAATATGCCTATGACACTGCCAGCTGCAAGACTTATCCAATGAGGTATAAATCATGACTCTATGTCATTTGGTTATTGTGTGATTGTCGGATACACTGACAGACAGACACTCACACAGACTTAGTACAGATTCTCTTACCAATTAGGGAGGCGGGGAGGAGGGGACAGTTGTAGGTGTGTCACTGTGCCCCTCACTTGAGCGCTTTTCTGGTCTTCAGCAAAGCCAAACACACACACACACAATCTGACTGGACACCAACACCACACACTTCACATACTGTTCGGAGCAGCTGAAGGCGGGAAACTGGGCAGAGAAGAAGCAAAAAGGCTGTGACAAACAGCACAACATCCACACACGCACCTTCCCAGCTTTGGGCACTGGAGATTATCAGTGCAGGAATCCTGGAAGATCTCTCACTAGGCTCAGGTTGGCAAGAACCAAGGCCGGGGGTCCCCAGATTGTGCATTGGGGTAACTGCTGGAGTCTCAGCAGATAAAACAGCACAGCTATAGAATCATAAATTATACAGCACAGAAGGAGGCTATTTGGCCCATTGTGTCTGTGTCGGCTCTTTGAAAAGAGCTTCCAAATCAATCCTATTCCCCGCTCTCTCCCCAGAGCCCTGCAAATTCATTCTCCCCAAATAATTATCTACTTTTCTCTTAAACATTGTTATTGAATCAACTTAAACCATCCTTTCAGGCAAAGTTTGCAGAGCTTTCCCGCTGTTTGTTGCTTTATCAAATACAAAGGTTATTATTATATTACCACCTGCACCCAGTACAAAGGTGAGGTGGTGTCTGACCCCAGCCGGGCATCGTATCTGTATTTCATTGCTACCACACATCCATTCCCTAACCAGGACCCCTTTATTCCACCTCCGCCACATTGCCCATCACTGTCCGTACATCACTGACACAGCTGAAATCTTCATCGACACCTTCTTCACTTCCCAGCTGGACTATTTAAATGAACTCGTCGCTGGTTTCGCCATCTCCACCAAACTCAAAATTCAGTTAATTAATAACAATTATTATTATTATTAACTCCGCCCGCTGCCCGGACACTCACCCAAATGAAACTCCATGCCCCAATCACATCTGTTTTATCAGCTAAACATCCTGTAGATACAGGCTGGCAGAATGGGGACACAGTGTAACTGTGCCTGTAAATAAATGGTGTTTTAATAGATCTAGGTTTTCAATTCAACCTTGATCATATAGAGATAGTCACGGTGTTATAACTGCAACCGTGCCCTCCCCACTCCAGACTCCGCCAACCTATCACTCTATCTCAGCTCAGCTCCCTGGCTCCCCACCCCCAGCTGATTGAGTTCCAGATCATGGTTTCACCTCAGTCTCTCCCCTCCCAACCTCAGCAATCTCCTTCAACCATACAGATCTGTTACACATTAACCTGGAAATCAATCACGTGGGACGTTTTCTGTGGCACTGAAGATTATTCCAGGGAAACGTGAGGGTGTAACCAGGGTCTCAGAGCAGGAATGTTAGTTACTGACAGCAAGTGATGAGCAACAATCAACACTAACATGAAAACCATACGATTATTCCTCACTCTCTATTGTAGGTAAAATTTGAACTGCCCTTTCCCTGTTTGTGTGACTATAATGTGATTCCCACAGAAACCGAAAGCAGCATTAGACTCTGGACATCGCCATCCCGAACACACATTTCATTTATTTTTAAGAGTGCAGATTCTTGTCTTTCAATGCCAAATTTAAACAGGTAAGTGTCAGAAATTGTGTCCTGAAATGATATATTATTTTACCGTTAAAATAATGCCTTAACATTACTGTTATTCCAGTATATAATTCATTGGTTTCACTATTAAGTGCGCTGATCTGGAGTTTAAAAAATCACTAATAAAGACAGAATGTCCGTCAGTCTGTCTGTGTGTCCTCCAAGAACGCAATAATCGATTGACGTAGAGACACGATTTATACCTCATTGGAAAGGACTTTCAAGGGGGAGTGTCATGGGCATATTTTGGGGAAATATTCTATTGATGAACTATGTTAAAAATGCTTTATTTAAGCCTCAAAATATGAGGTATGCATGGTATTCTGCAACAAAGTAGTGACAGAGGAATTCACACAGCCTTCAAGAGAAATACATCTTTCTATATTAATAAAGACAAAATGTCTGTGGGTCTGTCTGCCAATAACGCATTGAAATAAAGATATGATTTATACCTGATCAGAAAGGTCTTGCCAAGGGAAGTGTTATGAGGATATCTTTTTTCGACGGTGAGCTTCTACATTGATGTGTTTAGGTCACAGGAACTAAGACCTAAACACACATATATGGCAGTTTTGCTTAAGGTGTTTATGGCATGTTAAAAAGTTTGTCAGCGCTATTACTGAAATCTACATTCCAGATTGGCTCCTTTGGTTGCAAGCAAAGCTGCAACAGGTACAGTTAGTGTGAGTTAAATGTTCTGTATTGTCAGGTTTGTGTCAATAGTAATGCGGGAGCTGCTGCAGTCAGTTTATTCCCAATTTGTTGTTTAAACGCTGAGAATTGGAGGCAAGTGAGGAGGGAGGGAATGGGAGCTCCTCTCTGACCTGCACCTTGTTGGGGTGAATAAGGAGCGGCTCTGAGGAGGGGGAGGGGGAGGAGCACATTACAGCAGTTACACATAACATGTTTCTTCCCCAAACCACCTCATGGAGACCCCCAGTGCGGGGCCATAGGGGGCCTCACTGTCACAGTTAAAGATCCCAATCACTATTCCAACAGAGAAGGCAGTTTGTTCTGCTGTGGGTGTAAATTCAAAGAACATGTTGTAAGATCACAGAATTATTAATTATGTTTTATATTTTATCAATTATATTTGATCACAAATCTCTGTGTGTAATGATCTGATTTGCTGTGTTCTGATCTCATTGTGAAGGTCCTAGAGGATGAGCTGGAAACACGGTATTCAGGTCCTATGGCTTGTGCTTCCCCTCTCACTGACTGGTAAGGAAACACATTGAATCTGTTTGATTTCTGTTGGTGTTAAATTGCTGAAGGTAAAGGGAGAGCTGCTGAAGGCGGCGGTTGGGAGTGAGTGTGATTCACACACTGAGAGCTGCTAATGTTCCAGGAGATGAGCAAAGGCATTTAGGTTCCAAATACATAAATCACTGAAATCTTGTTTTTGGGTTGATAAAGTAATTAGTGAAACTAATGATGGTCTTTATAAAGAGGAATATAAAAGTGAGGAATTTATATAACAATCATATTTGCATTTGATATAGTGCCTCATCTCATTGCTGAGACGTCTCAAAGCATTTCACAGAATTGTGGAAAATTTTGTGGGCAGATTTGTGGCAGCCAATTTTGCACAGTAGTGCCCCATAAACAGTTTTGGATTGAGTGACCAAATTGCTTTTTTTAAAAGCTCTGAGATTTTAAGACATTAGCTCTTTCAAAGAGCCGGCATGGACTCGCTGGGCCGAATGTCCTTCTGTGCTGTGTTATTGTATGATTCTGTGAGAAGGGAGTTCCACTAATCTTAAAATGATTCATGAGATTAATACCTGGGATGAAATGTTTTAACTGTGTTGAGAGGCTGGTTAGACATCGGTTATATTCCTCAGAGCTGATTAGGTTGAAGGGGAATCTGATTGAGATGCTTAAATAGTGAAGTGAATTGTCAAGCTAAATAGTGGACAACACTTCCTTCTTGGAAAACAAAGGAACATAAAATCTGAAATTGTAGCTAACCTGGTTATAAGTGAGATCAGCAAACATTTCTTCACAGAGTCTTGTGAGAATATAGAATCAAAACATTTCAAAGCATTTCTCACTGTGAAGTGCAGGTGAACGTAGCAAACTCCCTTCTCTTTTCGAGTAGAGCCACTGGATGTTTACTGACACATAAACAGGCAGACAGGACCTCAAATTAATGGCTCATCAGAAGGACAGCACTTCTGACAATGCAACAACAATAACAAAAACAAATTACACTTGTACAGTGCCCCTCACATCGGAAAAATGTCCCAGAGCGCTAGGCAGTCAGGGGTTTTTAGACCCGAGCTGGGAGTCGGGTCAGGAGAGGTGGACGGCAGGGGATGTGGGTGGGAAGGTGCCCAAAGATACAATTGAGGAGCAAGATCTTTAGAAGGGACACTTGAAGGAGGCAAGAGAGGGTATGAGGTGGAGGGATTGTTGGACAAAATTCCAGAGTGTGGGGGCAGAGATGCTGAATGCCTGATTGGCAATGGTGGTGCTGGAAGTGCGGGCGACCTGAAGCAGGCCAGTGTTCACTGAGCGGAGGGAGCCGACAGGCTGATATAGGATTTGGTGGTCAGAAAGGTAGGGGGGAGCAAGACTCTGGAAGGACTTAAAGATGAGAACGAGGATTTTGTACTTGATTCTCTGAGGGATGGGGTGCCAGTGAAGCTGGGCAAGAACTGGGATGATAAATTCCCAGAGGCTGGTGTGGGAGAGGACACAAGCTGCAGAGTTCTGAATAATCTGTAGCTTGTGGAGGGAAGAGCTGGGAAGTCCGGTGAGCAGGCAGTTGGCATAGTCAAGCCGAGATGTGAATCAGCCATGAATAGTGATAATGTTCAACAGATGTGGAGTCCTGTAGCTCAGTGGTTAGAGCACTCGCTTTGCAAGTGAGAGACCTGAGTTCAATTCCAGGCAGAGGGCGAAACCTTGGGCAAGTTTCCTTACTCCACACACCTAATAATAATCCCTCCAAAACAAAGCAATAATAAATTGGTCATTTTCAATCTACGACTGTTTGTGGGACATTGCTGTGCGCAATTGGCTGCCGCGTTCGCCCACAAATATACAGTCAATTCACTTTACAGTCTATTCTGTGAAGCGCTTTGGGACGTCCTCCCGACGTGAAAAGCGCTATATCAAATGCAAGGATTATTTATTATTATTAGATGAAGTGAGGAACTGCTGCAGGAGCCAAGCAAGAGAGCCTCTGTCTTCCATTGAGCTGGAGGAAATTGGCTCTTGTCCAGGACTTGATGTCAGACAGATCATTAGCCAGGACATCAACGGTCCTGTAAGTCAATGGTGGAGGTGGTGAGATAGAGTTGGATTTCATCCACATACACGTGAAAATTGATCCTTTGCCTGAGGATGACATCACCGAGAGGGAGTATGTATAGATTGAAGAGGAGGGGACCAAGGACAGGGCTGTGAGTGATGCCACACATGACAGCGCGGGGACTAGAGGTGAAGCTGTTGATGAAAATGAAGTGCAAACGGTGGGAAAAGTAGGATTGGAACCAGGCAAAGCTGTGCTCCCCTAAGTAGGAACCTGGTTGTTAGTCAATTGATGGATCGGGTTTCCGGGGTAATAATTCCTTAAAATAACATAAATAATAAATTGGTCACTCAATCCACGATTGCTTGTGGGATACCACTCTGTGCAATTGGCAACCACTTTTTACCCATGAAATATAGTTAATTCCCTCTACAATATATTCTGCGAAGCGCTTTTGAGAAGACATGATAAGGTACTATATCAAATGCAAGGATTATTATTATTATTTATAAGATCCAGATGAATTTACTGCCAATGTCAGTTCTATTGCAGCTGTAAAAGTGTGACTTCTACTTTATATCAGAAACAAATTGATATCTAAGTGACGTCTGTTGACAAGTTTGTCTGAGCCAGTGGGACTGAAAATCCTAACTCTATCCATTGAAATTGAAAAAAATCCTCAGAGAATCATAGAATTATACAACACAGGAGGACCTTTGACCCATTGTGTTCCTGCCCACTTTTCAAAGCAGCTATCCAAATCAATCCCACTCCCACGTTCTCCCCATAGCTGAGAAAACTTGTCCTCCCCAAATAATTATCTATAAGATATATCAAGTGCAAGGATTATTGCAAGGACAGTGACTGTCTATTGGCAGAGTTTGTCCGAGTCAGTGTGACTGAAAATCCTAACTATCCATTGTTTGTTATTGAACAGAGAGATTCACAGTCAGTGGCCCGGCCCTCCCTGTCCCAGCCATTGCTGGTTCAGATGTTGTCCTGGACTGTAAGTGTTCCACAGACCTGCCACGAGAGGGTGTGGAGGTGAGATGGTTCAGGACAAGTTACGATTCCCCTGTGCACTTATACAAGGAGAGACGACATCAACTGAGGAAACAGGATGAAGCCTACAGACATAGAACACAACTGTTTGTAAAGGAGTTTATCAATGGCAACGTGTCTCTCAGACTGGGAGATGTGCGGGTGTCAGATAACGGAGAGTACACATGCTTTGTTGAGTACGCCGGATCATATCAAGATGTATTGATAAAGTTGAATGTTATAGGTCAGTAACATTTACAATTCATTTTATTTAATGTAATCTCTGTATACAAATTTTCATTATTTGTTTATGTTATGTCCAAAAGCAATAATTTATATTGACAAGAACAATTCATTAGTGTCAATTTATTCAGAATGTTGTAAACGTGTTTTCAGTAAAGTTACTGGTCTTTAATGTCCCGGGTATAAATATTGTCTGATTCACGTCTCCTGTCTCTTCCAGGGCTTGGCAGTCAGCTTTGGATTCACGTTGATGAGCACAGTGATGGTGTGAGGCTGCGGTGTGAATCCAGTGGATGGTTCCCAGCACCAGAGGTTCTATGGTTTGATGATCAGGGAAACAACTTAACAACACTCAGTAATTGGACTGTCAGAGAGGATTCTAAAGGTCTCTACAGTGTTAAAAGCCAAATAGAAATAATCTATTCAACCAACAAGATCAGGTGTCTGATTCACAATTCAGAAAATGAACAAGAAGCAAAACTCCAAATCTCAGGTCAGTAAATGAACAAGAAGGAAATATTAATGATTGTTTGTTAAATATGATGCAGATTTGTATAGCACATGAAGTGAAAACTCGATCAGTCTGGATGATACGGTCCACTTGAGTTCATCCTTTCAAAATACCAAACTCAGCATGTGGTTTGAGAACAACAAATTACATTTGTAAAGTGCCTTTCATGCCAGGAGGATGTCCCAGTGTGAGACACACTATACAAAGGTCCACCCCATGTTGGACCCTATCTGAAGTTTGGGGTCAGGAGGGATGGAGGGCAGGGTAGGTGGCAGTAGGAATGAATGAATGAAAGCTCGGTGAAAGAGGTGGATCTTGAAGGAGACAAGTGACTGAGCGAATGGAGGGTCTGTGGATGGAATTCTACAGAACTGGGGCAGAAACAGAGTTAGCTTATCACAAAGATCAGGAGAAGCAGGGCCATGGAGGGTTTTGAAGCCAATGAATATTCTCATTACAAACTGAAATCAATTCTGATTTCAGTACTCCAGCTCACCCATCCTTCCTGCTAACCTATTCAAACTGCTGATTATCTTGTGAATTAATCAACACTTCGTAACTCACAGCCACCATTGCTTCAGAAGAGGCAAAAGTTGCCTGATCCACCTCACAGTGAAGGGAAGACTACAGGTTAAGAGCTGAGAAGCTACAGGACAACAACAAAAGACATTTGTAAAACATCTTTCAAATTGGGAGGATGTGCGAAGGTGCTGGGCTGTCAGGGAAATGGACCTGAGCTGGGGAATAGGACATAATTATAGGACATCCACATGGAGGCAGCAGGACAAGAGGACACAGGTTCAGCATTCTGAAGGTCAGGTTTAAGGCAGACATATACATTGAGGTCATCTTCCAATTATTTGCTTCTATTTATGGTTTACATGAATTTTCCATTCACTCGGGTTCATGAGTTGCCAGGTATTGCTCTGTCATCACTGTTATATTGGACAGCACATTGTTAGTGACTGTCTGTTTGATTACCAACAAATGTGGTCATTTAATACATCACTATCTCCTGTTCAGCCTTCTCTTCAATTCACTTTGTATCCCTATGGATTTATCTTGTTCCCGATTACCCTCTATTTGCTATTTTTATGGAAGAATGTGTTGGGATTCTGTTTTACATTTGTTCCAATGTTCTCTTTGGGGTCTCCAATTTCTATTTACTTGACATTGAAGGTTAGAAGTTCCTCCAGAAATCACATTTGAAAACTAAAATAAAATAGATATTAGGAATGGTTTCCTTTCCTCTGGCATGGCAATTCTCTTTCACAAATGCTGCCATTTACGCTCTTCAACTTAAACTTTCACTGAATTCCTTACAGTCTCTCTAGCCGTTGCCCCATTTCCAACCTGCCCTTCCTCTCCAAGGTGCTGGGATGAGTTGTAGCCTTGAAGATTCATTCCTTCCTTTCCCATCATTTCCTGTAAAATTCTCTCCAAACTGGCTTCCTCCCTGCCCACAGCACCAAGAGAGCCCTGGACAAAGTCACACCAGATGTTCTCTCTGTTGATGACTAGGGCTCCCTGTGTCTCTTTGTCCTTCTCTATCGCTCTATCACCTTTCACACTTGTCCACTTCTCCTCCCTGATTCACCTCACATCCTCTGTACTTTGCTGGTTTCATGCCTGTCTCTCCCAGCATCTCCACTTTATCTTACCAATGGCTTCACATCTGCCCAGTATATTCACAGAGGGGGTTCCTCAAAGCTCCATCTTTGTTCCTTTTCTTTTCCTTATCCATACATTCACCCTTGGAGTCTGGCTCTCAGGGACTGGACTAACGGGACGGCCACAAAGAATGGATTTTATTCTGACATTCCCTTAACAACCACATCCCTTTAGTGCCACTTCAGCTCCAAGACCCCAATTCTCTGCCCAGGAAAAGTACATAATAATAATTGTAGGATTTGATACAGTGCATTATCACGTGTTTGAATGAAACATCATAAAGAGCTTCACAGACTATACTCTAAGTGAATTGACTGTATATTTTGTGGGTGATACACGGCAGCCAATTGCACACAGCAGTGTCCCACAAACAGTCACGGATGAGTGACCCAATTATTATATTGTATTTTTTGATGGGATTATTAGCCCTGGAAAGCGATCTTCCAAACAATGAACAAGCGGGTTCCTACTTAACTGCTAAGTAAACAGAGGCATGTGGAGTAAGGAAACTTGTCTAATGTTTCTCTCTGCCTGGGAATCTAACCCGTGTCTTCTCACATGCGAGGCGAGCGTTTTATCCAATACACTACCAGGACTTCACTTTGAGTGAAGCCCGTGACAGCTACTGAGCTATTGTGTGTAATACAGTCACTTGAGGGTAAATAAAGATATTTATTGTTTTGACATCATAATATATACTTAAATGTCTATTTACATTTCTTGACAGACGAGTTCTTTCCCAAAGTGCCAGTGGGTTTGGTGGTTTCCTCACTGCTCTTAGGACTTGCCATAATGATGCTGAGTGTTCTGGTCGGCTACAGTGTAAAACAGCATCGAGAGATCAAAGGTACGTTCCCATCAGTAACATCTCTCATCACAACACTGTTACTGTATGAATGTGTAAGTTCTATAAAACAATTGGTCTCTCCCTTCACTCAGTGACCCCGGTTTCATGTCACCACCCGATCCTCCCCACCATCAGCAGCTCAGGCTTTCAGCCTCTCTGCCGCCACTCTCTGCAACTCAATCCAAGAATCCTTCTGTCTCGGCCCCTCCCTCACCTCGTTCAAGGCCCATCTCATGACCTATTTATTCTGCTTTTTTAGTTAATATTCCCATCTCCCTCTGCTGACCCTCCACCCCGGCTCCCACCTGCAGCTCAGACCCCAGCATTGTCAGTGCTTTGGGATGTCCCCCGCTGTGGAAGGTGCTGTGTAAATGTAAATTTTATTGTAATTCAAACCTCCTATAATTGTGCTGAGCTGCACTTTAACATCTGTTAATGTTGTAAACATGTAGACTGACCATTAAACTATACTGGATTCAGAAATCAGTTTCTAACAGTTCTGTTTTGTATCCTCTAGATCTTGAGAAGAGAGTGGGTAAGTTATCAAAATAAAATAACAATTTTAAATGTGATATCTTTCATTCACATGCTTCACACAAAACAGACATAAGGACATTGAGGTGCAGTAAAAGTGCATCTCAAAGCCAGTCAGGAACCTCAGCGTTTTGTTCGACCCTGAGCTGTCCTTTCTCCCTCACATCCGCACCACAACTGGCACCGCCTTCCATCACCTCCGGAACATCGCCAGACTACGGCATTACCTCACCCCTCACGCGGCTGAAACCCTGGTTCACGCCTTTGTCACCTCAAGGCTGGACTATGGGAACTCTCTCCTCGCCGGCCTTCCCGGCCCTCCCTCCACACTGCAGGTCATTCAGAACTCTGCAGCTCGTGTACTGTCCCGCACCAGACACCGCGACCACATCACTCCCACCCTCGCTCGCCTCCACTGCTCCCCATCCCCCAGAGGATCGAATTCAAGATCCTCATCCTCACCTACAAGGCCATTCACGGCCTTGCTCCCTCCTACCTCTCCAACCTACTATCCCCCTACCTACCTGCCCGTACCCTCCGTTCCTCTGGCTCCGGTCTGCTCCACGTCCCCGCCCCAACCGCCCTACCATCGGTGGTCGGGCCTTCAGCCTCTCAGCCCCCAGGCTCTGGAACTCCATCCCCCAGTGCCTTCGCCGCTTCCTCCCTTTCCTCCTTCAAGGCCGGTCTCAAAACCTTTCTCTTTGACCGAGCCTTCAGCTCCCCTCTCGACTCTCTGCCCCCTCCTCGCTCCCTCCCTTCCCTCCCCTCACCCTGACCATTTCCCCCCTCCTCGCTCCCTCCCCTCCCCTGACCATTTCCCCCCTGCTCGGGTCATGACCCAACTGTGCAGCGCCTTGGGACGTCCTCCTGACGTGAAAGGCGCTTTATAAATGGAATCTTGTTGTTGTTGTTGTATTTGTTTGCTAACAAAATACCCACTCACTGCACTCTCCAGAAAACTCTATTATTATAGGACAACAACTTGCACTTATACAGCACCCAGCTTTCAGGATAACGTCTCAGAGTGCTTAATAGTGGCAGATATCAAATGCAAGGATTATTATTATATTGTGTATTATAAAGAGCCTTTTTTTCGGGGGGGGGGCTGGGTGGGAGGTGACTGTAAACACGATCGAAAAGGAAGCTTTTCAGTTGGGACTTGAAAAGGGGGAGAGAGGGGACAAGGCAACGGGATTGAGTGACAGTATTCCAGAATTTAAGGGCGAAGTGGCTGTATACATGATTTCCAATGGTGGAACAGAGGGGAAGTAGACAGAGAAGTAGATAAGTACGTGCATGAGGGATAGAGGCTTGAAGGGGTTTAGTTGTAGGGCAGGGCAGCTGTTGTATGAACACTTTGATCTGAGAGCCCATATAGACTCGATGGTGAATGGCCTCCTTCTGGGCTGTAAATTTCAATGATTCTATTCCATGAATTATTACAGGCTGTTTAACTCCAACCATTGGTCTATTTCACATCTTGAACTTTCCCTTCTCTTCCCGAAGACAACATTGGCTTGTGAACATACACACATTAAAAGGGAAAAAAAATGAGTGAGCTTCAATGAGGGAGGGAGGGAGGGAGGGAGAAAAAGAGGGAGAGAAAGAGGGAGGGCTTGAGAGAGGAAGGGTGTGAGAGGGAGGGCGTGAGAGAGGGAGGGCATGATAGCAGGAGGGAATAAGAGGAGGAGGGTGTGAGAAGAGGAGGGATGGAGGGAGTGAGACAAGGAGGGAGAGAGAGATGATGGGGGAGAGAGAGGGAGTGAGAGGAGTGAGATGGAGGGAGCGAGAAGGAGAGAGGGACAGAGGAAAGGAGAGACGGAGGGAGTGAGAGAGGGAGTGAGAGACGGAGGGAGTGAGTTAGAGAGAGTGAGGGAGAGGGAGGGAGGCAGTGTGACTTGGTTAGGAGCTGCCAAAGATCTGATCACTTATTTCTTCTTGGTTCCAGTGTTGAAAAGGATTCGCAGGTGTGCAGGTAAGAGTCTGAGTGACCGAACCACCAACATCCAACACACTGACTCCCCACCACCCCATACACAGTCACATCACCCTGCCCCCCCCCAAAAAAATAGACTTTCATACCCACGTCCCTCACACATATATTCCCCCCGGCGCACACATTCCCCCCGGCGCACACATTCCCCCCCACGTACACATCAACCCCCCCACACGCATCAATCCCCCTCGCACACATCAAATCCCCTCGTACACATCAACCCTCCTCACACACATCACCTCTCTATGCACACATCACCTCCACATGCACAACCCCCCACACGCACACATCCCCCCACACGCACACATCCCCCCACATGTACACAACCCCCACACGCACACATCCCCCCACACGCACAAATCCCCCACACGCACACATCCCCCCACACGCATATAACCTCACATCCCCTCACACAACCCTTACATCCCCTCACACACACCATCACAGCCCATCCCCCACAAACATCCTCATATCCCCGAACATACACAGCATACACCCTCACACTCACTAACACACACATCCTCACACAAACCCCACACAAGCAAACACACCCCCCCACACAAACACCCACACATCACCCCAAACACACGGGCTCACACTCCGCCTCACACTCACACACATCCCACCCACACAGTCTCCCTCAAATCACCTCCCCCCCCACACCATTACAAACACTCTCACACACACCCACACAAACTCACATCCACCCCACACACAGACCCTCACACACACCCTCACATCTCCCCCACCCACAGCTTCACATTGCCCGATACACACACACCCTCACATCGCCACCAGACACCCTCACATTCCCCCACACACCCTCACGTTCCCCACACATCACATCCCCTCCCCCACCCATACTCAACCCCACCATAAAACCCTCAACATCCCTCCCACACATACCGCCTCACGTCCAGCCTCACACACACGCCCTCACATCACCCCCCACATACCCTCACATCACCCGCACACACTGTCACATCCACACACCCTCACACCTCCACACACACAGCCTCACATTCCCCACATCGCCCCACACGCAACTTCACATCCCCCCCAAACACACACCTATTTCCACCCCCACACGCACTCATATCCCCCCACACACCCACATCCCCCACACACACCCACATTCCCCCCACACACACCTTAACACATTCCCCCCACTCACACCCCCCCCAACACATACATTCATATTTACCTCACACACACCCTCACATCCCCGGGCGCACCCTCAACCACCCACATATCACCCCAAACTCACACGCTCACACTCCGCGTCACACTTACACACATCCCACCCATACAGTCTCCCTCAAATCACAACCCCCCCCACCCCACACACCATTACACACACCCTCGCAAACCCACACAACCTCACATCCACCCCACATACAAAACCTCACACACGCTCACATTCACCCACATACACACATGCTCATCACCCGCCTCACTCACACCCTCACATTCCCCCCACACACCTTCATATCCTCACCTCACACATCCTCACACCTCCCCGACATATCCTCACATCCCCAATCCCACTCAGAGCCTCACATCCGCCACACATATAACATCACATACACCCCACACACTCTCATATGCACTCAAACTCATACCTCCAAGTTCCCTCACACACACCCTTATATCCTCCCACACACCCTCACAAACACAACCTCTCACACATTCACATCCCCCCCTCCCATTCACAACCTCACATCCCCACACATACAACATCAAACACTCCACACACCTTCATACACACCCATACACACCCCCACAAATACCCTCACCACACCCACATCTCCCGCTCACATCCCACCAATCCCCAAAACACCATCAAGCTCCCACACACCATCACATCCTCCCCCATCACACATACCCTCACATGCCCCAAACACAAGCTCACATCGCCCCAACAGACACACACTCAAACCTCCGCAACACCCTCAACACCTCCAACACATACACCATCACATGCCCCCACACACATCCTTGCATCTCTGCCAACAAAACCTCACATCCCCCCACACACACCCTCACATCACCCACACAACTTCACATCACCCACACAACATCACATCCCCTCCCCCACACACACTCAACCCCTCCACACACCCCCACATCCCCACCCACACACACATTCTCACATCCCCCTTCACACACACACACACACACAGACTGTCAGCCTTTCTGCTGGATTCTGTTCTCGGGAGATGTCAATGTTTTACACAAAGGCTTCTCTCCCGGTGACGACGCTGAAGATCATCTTATTTATAATTGTAAATGTGTCCGACATTAATGGTCTGATTCTCCCTCCAGTTACAGTCACTCTGGATCCTGACACAGCCCATCCCCTGCTCATCCTGTCTGAGGACCGGACCAGTGTGAGACTCGGAGACAAACAGCAGTCGCTCCCTGACTCCCCGAAGAGGTTTAGTTTGTATCCCATTGTCCTGGGATCTGAGGGCTTCACATCAGGGAAACATTACTGGGAGGTGCAGGTGGGCAACAAGTCATGGTGGATTATGGGATTGGCCACAGAGTCTGTCAACAAGAATCAACGAATCACTTGGTCAGCAGAGGGTGGGGTCTGGGGGTGAGGCTGAGGGGCAAGAGCTATGATGCTCTGTCTTCACCTCCCACCCGCCTGCCCCTGACAGTGAGACTCGGGAAGGTCGGAGTTTATCTGGACTATGAAGAGGGACAGATATCATTTTATAACGTTGACAACATGTCTCATCTCCACACTTTCACACAAACTTTCACTGAGAAACTTTATCCTCTGTTCAATCCCTGGTATAATTCTGAGCCTCTGACAATCTGCCCAGTGACAGGTTAATGTGGTCGAAAGAGCCTCTCATCCACCCACACACTCGTATCCTCCCAACACACACCCTCACATCCCCCCACACACAATCCACACATTTCCCCACACAAACTCTCACATCCCTCTCACACACACCCTCACATCTCCCATTGTCACATTGTCACCAGAGAGTGGGGTCTGGGGTGTGGTATGGGGTCGATGAGGCTCTGACGGCATCTCATTAAAATCTCCCAAATCACTTTGGGATCTATAAACAAGGTGACATGTTGTTCCCCAGTGAGCAGCCGTGTCTCACTGTGTATAAACACCGTGTATTTTCAGTGACAGCTTTTATAATCTGTAACATTTCTCATTCACTGTAACAATCACCCAAGAAGCGAGATCTTTAATCCTCACTAAACCGAGGTCCCGTCTGTATCTGTTCAACTGAATATTAATATCCAAACTATTGTCTTTCACTTGCAAAATATTGGATCAATTTACAAATCATGTTGTGTCATTTTATGTCCAATGATGAAACACAATCTACACACACTCCTCACCCTCTGATACACATACCCTAACCCTAACCCTTTGATACACCAAAGAACAACGAACTACATTTACGCAGCACCTTTCACGTCAGCAAGTTTCAAGGAGCTGTAATGTTAGGGCTGCCCACCCGAGCTGGTGGTTGGGATAAGGAGGGGTGGAGGGCAGAGAGGGAAGGCATCAAAGGTTAATTGAAGGAAAGGTGGAAGAGGAGTGTTTTGAAGGTGGCAAGGGAGGGGGTGAGGTGGAGGGACTGAGGGATGGAGTTCAAGAGTGTGCAAGCAGAGAGGCTGAAGCCCATGCGTCAATGGTGGGACGGACAAGGTGGACATAGAGCAGGCCAGAGCCTGCTGAGCGGAGGGAGCAGACAGATTTGTGGAGGTTAGGAGGTCACAGAGGTAGAGAGGAGCGAGGCCAGGGAGGGTTTGATGTTGAGGACCAGGATGCTGAACTTGTATCCTCTGAGGATGGGAAGCCAGTGGAGCCGGGCGAGGATGGGGGTGATCGGCTCGCGGAGCCTGATGCGGGAGAGAACGTGCGCTGCAGAGTTCTGAATGATCTGCAACCTGTGGAGAGTGGAGTAGGGGAGGCCAAAAAGCAGGGAGTTTGCACAGTTGAGCCTGGATGAGGGTTTCAGTGGCCTGCGGTGAAAGACAGTGGCAGAGTTGGCTAATGATGGGGAGAAAGGCAAAGGTGTCATGGTATGGAAGAGTGTCAGAGCCTGACTCACTCCAAGCCGGGGGAGGGGGGGGAGGGGGGTCGGAGGGTGGGGTTAGGTGTTGGTGTCGGGTTGAGGTGGGGGAAGATCTGTAAGCACAGTCAAAAAGGAAGGTTTTCAGTGGGGACTAGAAAAAGGGTAGAGAGGGGGCAAGGCGGAGAGACTGAGGGTGAGCGACCCACAGTTTCCAGGCATAGTGGTTGAAAGCGCGACCTCCGATGGTGGAGCGCAGGATGCGAGGGACGAGCAGGAAGCCTGTGCCAGTCGAACGTAAGTGCTGAGTGGTGGTTTGATGAGTTGAGGAGGTCGGAGAGGCAGGTATGTGCCAGAGGGTGAAGTGATTTGAACTCAAGTGTGAGGATCTTGAAATTGATCCGTTCAGTGATGGGGAGTCAGTGGAGCCTGGCCAGAACTGGTGAGACATTGGTGCAGAGTTTGGTCTGGGTCAGGATGCGGGTGGCAAGAGTTCTGAATGAGCTGAATCATTTGAATAGTGGAGCTGAGGAGACCGGCGAGCAGTGCATTTGAGTAATCCAAGCGGGAGATGAAAAACGTATGCACGAGGGGTTTGGATGCATTTGTGATAGGGTACAGTTGAAGGCAGGCAATGTGGCGAAGGTGAAATCAGGCCGTCCTGATCAGTGACCAGCTGTGGGGGAGGAAGGACAGCTGGGGATTGAACCAGTCGCCCAGATTACACACTGTTCAGAGAGTCTGAGGGAGAACCCAGAGAGGTTGAGGAGTTCAGACGCGCAGGACTGATGTCTGTCAGACAAGCTGATAAAACATCGGGGGACCTGGAGTTGGTACTGGAGGAGGCAAGTAGACTTGTGTCTCATCGGCATACATGTAGACGTTTACCCCATTCTGTGGATGACATCGCCCAGAGAGAGCATATGGACAAGGAAAAGAAAAAGGCCAAGGATGGACTCCTGGGGTACCCGCGTTTCTGGGCGGGAGGAGAAACCATTTGCTAAGATAAGATTGGGCAGGTCAAAAACCAGACTGCAGGGGCTCAAAGAGGAAATGGAGGGAGAGGTGTGACTGAAGTTGATCTGCAGCAATGAATCACCACTTCATCTCCTTCACCACCTCCACCCCCCTCCCCACGTCCACCAGACCCACCACCATCTTCTACCGCCCCTGGAAGAAGTTACCCCCACAATCCCTAACCGCTGCCTTGGAGTCCTCTGAACACCTCTTCCTCTGGCCTTCAACCCTCACTGACCCCTCTTCTGCTCTCACCCTCCTCCACAACACCCTCTCCTCCACACTCGACACTCTTGCCCCCATCACCTCCCGTACTGTCTCCTACTCTCGCTCTTCCCCCTGGTTCACCACCCACCTCCGCTCACTGAAGAGCCAGGTGCAGGCCGCTGAACGCACCTGCCTCAAATCTGGCCTAACGGTCCACCGACAAATCTGGCTGGACCTCCTCAAAATCCTGGAGGCGAAGAACAACCCCAGGCTTCTGTTTTCTACCACATCCTGACTCCTACGTCGCCCCCGCCACCCCACGCAGGTCATCTCCTCCAACCTTCACTGCAAGGAGATGCTGGATTTCCTTGAATCCAAAATCAAGGCAATCCGCTACGCGGTCACTCCCCCTCCAACTTCCACCCATTCATTATTCGAACCCCTTCAGTCGGGTTTCCGTGCTGCCTGTAGCACAGAAACTGCCCTGGTCAAGGTCACCAATGACATCCTGACCATCTACGACCAGGGCTCCCTCTGCCTCCTCGTCCTCCTCGACCTATCGGCAACATTCGATACGGTCGACCACGCTATCCTCCTCCACTGCTTGTCCTCCCACCTCAACCTTCAAGGCCCTGTCCTTGAGTGGTTTAGGTCGTACCTCTCCCACCGTTTTCATTTTGTTTCCACAAACGGCTTTTCCTCCACCTCTCGCACTGTCTCGTGTGGTGTCCCTCAGGGCTCTGTGCTCGGTCCCCTCCTCTTCACCCTCTATATGCTCCCCCTTGGTGACATCATCCGCAGACATGGGGTTAACTTCCACATGTATTTGGATGACACCCAACTCTACCTTTCCTCCTCTACCCTCAACTCCACGACCACCGATGTCCTAACAGCTGCCTGTCTGTCATCGAGTCTGGACGAGAGACAACTTTCTTTAGTTCAACGTGTGCAAAACTGAGGCCCTCCTGATTGGCTCACGTCAGAGCCTCCGCACCTCAGGCGCTGACCACATCAGCATCCAAGGCTGCACTCTCCACCTCTCAAAGCCATTCAGGAACCTCGGGGTTCTGTTCGACCCTGAGCTGTCCTTTCTTCCTCATATCCGCACCACAACTGGCACCGCCTTCCATCACCTCCAAAACATCGCCAGACTATGGCACTACCTCACCCCTCACGCGGCTGAAACTCTGGTCCACGCCTTTATCACCTCAAGGCTGGACTATGGGAACTCTCTCCTCGCCGGCCTTCCCGGCCCTCCCTCCACACTGCAGGTCATTCAGAACTCTGCAGCTCGTGTACTGTCCCGCACCAGACACCGCGACCACATCACTCCCACCCTCGCTCGCCTCCACTGGCTCCCCATCCCCCAGAGGATCGAATTCAAGATCTTCATCCTCACCTACAAGGCCATTCATAGACTTGCTCCCTCCTACCTCTCCGACCTACTATCCCCCTACCTACCTGCCCGTACCCTCCGTTGCTCTGGCTCCAGTCTGCTCCACATCCCCCGCCCCAACCGCCCTTCCATCGGTGGCCAGATCTTCAGTCTCTCAGCCCCTAAGCTCTGGAAGTCTATCCCCCAGTGCCTTCGCCGCTTTCTCCCTTTCCTCCTTCAAGGCCGGTCTTAAGACCTTTCTCTTTGACTGTGCCTTCAGCTCCCCTCTCGACTCTCTACCCCCTCCTCACTCCCTCCCCTCACCCTGACCATTTCCCCCCTGCTCGGGTCCTGACCCAACTGTCCAGTGCCTTGGGACGTCCTCCCGATTTGAAAGGCGCTCTATAGATGGAATCTTGTTGTTGTTGTGTTGCAGGACTTTGGCAAAGAAGGTAGGTTGGAGATGGGAAATCAATGAGACTCCACAGAGAAAACCTTAAACATGGAGCAGCTTGTGAGGCTGGAGAGAGAGGTAACAACTGGATCAGTAGAGGGAGCAGACAGCTTGGGAGTCAACAGGTCAGAGATATAGGACAGGCCAAGGCCGTGAAGGGTCTTGAAACTGAGAATGAGGATTTTGAATTCTATCCTCTGAGGGATGAGGAACAAATGGAGCTGGCCAAGGGTGGGGTTGATGGGGTCAGGGAGCCTGGCGCGGGAGAGGACACGAGCTACAGAGGTCTGAATGATCTGCAGCTTGTGGAGGAGGGTGACAAGATTCTGTAGTCGAGCCTTGAGGTAACAAATGCATGTATGAGGGTTTTGGTGGCCTGATGGTTGAGGTAGTTGCGGAGTCAAGCAATGTTGCAGAGGTGGGGGAAAGACAGAGCGGATCATTGCATGTATATGGGGGGCAAAAGACTGTTGAGGGTTGAAGAAGGCACACAGCTATCCTGACTGACTTGGTGAGGTGGAGTGTGCATCCTTGGATGCTGATGCTGCCAGTGCCTGAGGTGCGGAGGTCCTGGAGCAATCCATTCAGCAGGGTCTTGATCTTACTGACATTCAGCTGGAGAAAGCTGGCTCTCATCCAGGACTTGATGTTTGACAATCTGTCAGGACATCAGTTGTCCTGGAATCGATGGTGGAGGCAGAGAGATACAGTTGGATGTCATCTATATACATGTGGAAGTTGACCCCATACATGTGGATGATGTGCCAGCACATAGAAATTGAACAGGTGGGGACCTGAGGAACACAGCAT